TAACCTGCAGCAAGGAAAGATGCAACTCAGCGTGTAATAAACCGGAACATCGTAGGTAGCAATTCAAACAACCTGAAGTCTGCGGCCGAGCGAAATGGCTTGTTTTAGCAGAACTGAGTAGGAAGACGGCAGGACAGCAGTGGCTGCCTCGGAGCGCGCATAGACCTCAGCCAATTCGGTGTCCATTAACTCAATATTTGGGCGTGAGGAGAGGCGGGACTCCGCCGCGAGGTTCTCCACCAGCCGTTGCACCTCGTCTCTTAAAATCAGTGAGCGTCGTGAGTTACATCCGATCACAATAGCTTGTGGTTCACTCTTCGTTAAGAAGTGGGACAATCGTCGTACATCGTCGTCCTAGAAGCACAACACATTTCAGCAGTTGGCACAAGTGATACTGATGAGTTTGAATCAGGCCATCAAACCAGTGAAAGTACCTACATGCCGCTTTCTGAATTCCTCCCTTTGAGAGCGCGTACTGTGCAAAAGACCAGATAGATTGAGAAAGTCCACGACCTCCCCATCGGCGTCCAAACGAACAGCAGTAACCACAGCTTTCACCGCTTCAGTGTCGTCCTTTAACGCAAAAGCTAGCACCCGAGCAGGCTTGGGCCAGACGGTGTTGGCAGAACGCAACTCACCACCGTCAGAGAGATAGCGACCACCATGGCGGTGACGACTGCTTCTGCCATCCTCATTATCAGCCTCCCCGGCACCGCCACCACCACCACCACCACCACCGCCACCCCCGTAACGATGGTCGTCCATCACATATGGCGCCACCTTGATACACTTGAACAACTTTTGTGCACACAACTAAAAAGCAAAGAAACTGATAACAAAGGGGCCTGGTAATGTAGTAGTTTAAGTGGCTCAATAGACTGGATGATTGCAATGATGATGATGAAAAGCACGACCTATTAGTCTTAACTTCATCCACTCCTCTGGCCAGAGTGTTCAAAGGCGACACTGCTCCTCGAGAAGCTGTTGAAATTAGGAGCCAAATCGAACAACAAATTTCGTTTGCATGTATCGTAACTACCTTAGCATTCAACTTTTACTTACCGAGCGACATAACCAATGGGGATTGCACGACTCTTACTCACCTATTAATCCAAATATTGGAATCACTTTACCACACTATCAAATACAGGGGAACAACGATTCACCTTTACAACAGCCTGTTGACTGGCATCGAGAAGTTTCTCCTGCATTTCTTTGAAAATATGAGGTTGAAGGAACTGTTCAATCGCTTCCTTCAGCACCAAGGATCGCTGCTCATTCCAGGCCTGCACCAAAGCACTGAATTCGTCCTGATGGAAGTAGTGCTCCAAATCGTCCAACAAAGAGAGACCTCGTTGCTGACACTCTGGCACATGCACCTTCACCGTAACCAATCCATCCCGGACAGCCTAGGGCAATAGAAAATCCGACATCATGCACTATTATCAAACAAACAATAAGGCAGGAAAGTATAAGTTAACCGAATAAGTTCTTAGGATTTCTATAGCAAAAATTTAGTGATTGCATAAAGCCTTTTAAATTAATTTTACTCATTGAAATAATCACCATTATAAATTACAATACTTTCTCAATCACATACGAGTTTACTATGAACTCCACTTTTGTAAAACATTCTACCTCTGCAGACAAAAAATCTAGCCATCGTTGTTTCTATCGCATTTTACTTTCCAACTCTCTCTTTCACATGCGGTTGCCTAACGCCAAGGAAAGATGACAATCACTTGGAGGAGGATCAGGGGAGTGTGGAGAATGAGGACAAGAATAAGGCAGTTCCACCTTCTTATCTTAAAGTGCAGTATGATGTCTTCTCGTGGGTAAGCTTTGCGGCAACATGAGGTCTTGCGCTGTCCTATGAGAATGAAAAGACACTCTTCTTGCCTTAGAAATGTGAAATAGTGAGTAAATCATTCGGAGATGACCGATGGCATGTTTGCTTAACGAACGTTGAAATAAAAATGCTATTTCTCACCCCAGGTCAGTCAGAAAGCCATTTGAAGTGCACTACGCCTCCTTATACGATGAAATGGCGAACAAGTTGTTAACCTTTAAAGCCTACTGTTTTCTTTTAATGCATAGCATACAAACTCCATTTATTTGGTAGCTTCCACGACTTTTCTATTTAATGTAGGTATAAAGTATTTGTTTCAGCACTCACGTTAAACGTGACTAAAAGCGCTTGTCACACTAATCCCCGTCTGTTCTAAGCAGCAGCAACATGTAACTCTTCATTATCAAAAATAGATGATCTTACAGGACGTGACTCATCACCATCATCCTGCAATTCACCACCAGAATCGAAGTTTTAAACTATTTCTGGTGCTGCACACCACACCTCCTTCAAACGCTATACAACAGATGCTAAAAGAAGCGTCTACAGCGGTTCGTCAAGCAGAAGCTTGAATCACATCAGGTCCAACCGACACTTTGTGAGGTGTCAATGTAGCAGAAAAGTAGCACAGAGCAGAATTGGGAAAAACGTATCAATAGACCAGTGCCTATCTACCTAGGCCTTATTATACATGCATGAAAATATAAATAATCACGTGCCTTTCAAGTGTCCATAATTTACGAGTTATTTCAGCGAGCTGTACCGAAACCCGCACAAACCATTTTGATCACCTAGTACTTACATTGTGTACATGCAGATACGTCACGTCACCCATGAGTTCAGCTATAGGTTTGTTCTTTAAAAACTTGACAGGGGAGAGAGGATGAGATTCGTCAATCAATCTCATGCCCTTGGATGTAGGCTTGAGATCGAGCACAGCCTGTGTTGAGAGATTCACCCGAGCCAGCTGGCGCACAACGGGCTCTCGAGAAATCTCAAACGCTAGCATGTAGCGTGCCGCACGCAAGACAGTGGCGGGCTCAGAAAACTGTGGGCACACAAAGTCAGCAGCAGCGTCAAGAGGCAGTATAGGGCACTGATTCACCTCATGACGTCGATACTGATCATGAACGTTGTCGGCAAATTGCTCTGCAGAGAGCCCAAACCTCTCCACCAAACCCGAAATGCCAGCCCGCTGAGCAACTTCGTACGCGACAGTGGTGCGCACCTGGCGCTGCCGAATCCGACGGCCTGTCATGGGATCCACGGTGGTTGTAAGAACACCTGCACCTGGTTCTCGTTTGCGCACTGCTTTAACAGCTTGGCGATTGTCCTCTTCCACCGTCTTCTTATCCGCCTCCACGGAGAGGCGCCTCATGCCATAGCTCGGATCATACTCTTCGTCGTCATCATCTGAGCGCCTAACTGAACCCTCATCCTCCTTGCGTGATGTCTACAAGAGTGGGTCCAATTGATCACGAGTTTTTGAATGCACATTTTGGTGGGGCATTAAGAGTAATATAAACCGGAAATAAACAAACCATTTTGACTATGTTCAAGTCCTTCCCCTCCCAAATTGTCATATCTTGCGTGTGACCCGCGTAGTGGAGAAGATAATTTAGCCTAACATCTTGCACCTCCTCCAATGACGTTGCGCTATTCGCCCTAAACAACAATGAGGGTGACAACTTATACTTACATGGCCATCAGCCGGATCAGCCCCTCGAGCTTCAAGTTGTTTTCGGCCTCATCAGCCTCTCTGGCCCGTGCCTCCAAATATCTACTCATTCGTTTCAACTGCCGAACCAATCCCTTGCGACGCTGCTGAAGAATCTCCCACTTCTCGTCGTACTCGTAGATGCACCACAAATCATTAATATTTAATTCCTTTTGAATACACTCCTTTCTATAGAAAGCGATGAAGGGAACCTCTGAAAGCGACTCTTTGAAGAGTTTCAAAACTTCAAATATGTTGTCCGTCACGGTTGATGGCTAGACAGTGAAATGATGGATTATGAAATCAATTGCGAGCACACCTTCTTCGAGGGACCTTCCCTGAATGCAGCATTGTAAATCCACTCGGACTCCTTCTCTAGTTCGACGAGGTCATCTTTGTAGATCATTGACCGTGGGTCAAGTCGCCTAACAGGAATAGTGCGCAATTGAAAGCGTTCTGGGATATCAGTGCAGCGAATTCGTTCATCCTCCGGGCTGTAAAAATTGCGAGCTAGATCTGTTGGATCAAAAAGCTCATAAATTCGACCCTGTGGAGCCATTTTCAGCTCACGTTTCGCCTTCCTGCGCCGTTCACCAACGTCATTATCTTCATCCTCATAATCCGACTCCTCACTGACTTCACTGCTCTGTCCACCAAACTGCTCAAAATCTTCAAAGTCGAAGTCAACACCAAATATATTCTGCGCTTGTTGGAGTGAGGGGTCCTTGTGCACTATCTGTCTTTTCTGTCTCGCTCCTCTCCCATCAGGCGCAGCATCATCAACAATGAAGTCATCCATTCCGTCTGACTCTTCGCCCTCGTCATCGGATTTAGGGGCAAACAAGGGAGCAGCTCGAATAGAGTCACCTCCCTGTCCTTCCGCTTCTTCATCTTCATCCTCAAATATCTGGCGTGCAATAGCCTCACGACTTCGAGCCTCCTTCGACGCCTTCGATACATCTACATCAGCTTCATCTTCATCATCGAGGACAAGACGTCGTTTCTTTGTCATTGTATCATTAGTACATGGAACCTACCTTACGCTGCACGTTAATGCCGACGTTCTCTCTTATGAGGAGGTAATCGTCATCATCCAACACATCATCATCCTCGTCGTCGACTCCGTCATCCCTAGCGGACTTTTCACTGGCATTACTCCCATCATCAGATCCCTCACCACCATCGTCTTCATCATCGTTCACTATCCATCCCTGACCCTCCTTTCTGCATATCTCCTCCTCGTCCAGAAGCTCCTCCTCTTCCTCACTGTCTTCAGACGAAACTGAACCCTCCTTCCTGAGTCTTTTGGGCTTTGAGGGGCCCTCTTCGTCTGAAGACACAGAGGCTTCTGACTCAAGGTAATCTGACATCACCGCAGCTGAAAGCGCCACAATATCAAGTAGTGCGCTTGTGCAAGAGCGCTATCTCAGCTAATTAAACAATCGAAGAATCTAGTTGTGACAAAAACGTTCTCCAATACTTTGAGTGCAGTTGTGCGTCATATTTTAACATTTCCGGTTGTGTCAAGACCTTAATATCAAAGAACAATCCATGGTTTCGGCAGGCTATAGCTTAGATCAAACTATCTTATTTTAATATTCACGGATGCTCTTTGAGGCTCACACCCAACTCTTAGAGTTCCTAGTGTTTGGGTTCTTATGCACCAAGGCTTTTGCACACAAAGCTTCTGTACCGCTTGCACTTTTTTTCTGTTTTTGCACACAACTCCCCATTATACCTAATTCAGGTGCTCGAGACCATCGTTAACACGTGAAGTTTTTATGCTCTCTTTTAGTATCATAAGTGTTTTTTTGGTGAGTGTCATAACAAGTAGTGCGTAAATGGCTCACTATTCACTAAAGACAAACCATGGTCAAATTGATTTGTGCTCCAAGGGTCGGAGTCTTCTGTGACTTCGTAACGTGCCACAGTAGCATGGATGATTTCTGTTGACGTACAGACCACTTGGAGTGCTATAAACAGAGATGTCATTCAGCTTTCGGGGAGGTACTATTTTTTGCAAAGTTTATTTATTTCTGTAGAATGTAGTAGAGGGCCTTAAAATTAAACCTTTTTAAATATTTCAAATGTGATACTACTTCAGATGTCGATTGCCTTCCTGCAGACCACGAGATTAAGGTGATCGTCAAGTGTGGACGTAGCCTTGGTAACCCTCCTGTAGAGCAAGCCTACGAATTCAGTCACCCACAGTATCCACCTTCCTCCCGCAATGGTCAAGCTTGGCAATCAGAGTTTTCCCTTCGGATGTCGAAATAAGCCATTGTAGCACCCTGAGACTTCCATGAAGATGAAAAAAGGCATAATACTCGGGCAGAATATGTACATTGTCGACATACAGTAGGGCTTGAGGCAACTGGCATGGCCCAGAGACCAGCCCACCCTGCAAAGGTACAGTGGCGGATGTCCAAAAATAGATAAATGTAATTGATAGATAAATACAATTTATCAACAGGATCATCAATTGTACAAGGGAAAAGGGGTGTGAGTTATAACAGCGAAATGACTACAAGGGTTTCAACGCCACGTTGCTGTGGGGTATCGGTATACCGAAAAAATCATCCACTTTTGGTGTCCGGCTGCTGCTAATACCGTCCAGAGTACCAGCACCACGACCGTTACCGCCGCCACCGCTGCCCCGATGATGACCGTAATGTGGACGCTATTAAAATCCCAAGTCAATCATGAACAGCAGGTAGGTAAACCAATAAAGCATGAGAAGCTTTTCAACCAATCAAGCACACAACACCAAATGTCATGGGCACTCAATACGTTCACGCTTATCACTATAGGGGATGCCCTTCAACAGTTTTTATAAATACCCCAGAGAGACACGTATCAATGTATGCATAAGAAAGAAGTTAACAAATACATAAGCATAAGCACACAGAAACCAGGCAAATTCAGCAATGATGATAGTGGTGCTATTGGCATTGGTGAGGCCAACTACAAATACTCACAACTTCATTGTAATGGTTCTTAAACCACCCAATCATGCGGTCAAGCGTGGGGAAGATGTGGTGACGAAACCTCAGACCTTCCGATTTCACAGAGAACATCTCGAAACGCGGCGTCTGGTTGGGCATATATGCCAATATAAAGTACCCCGGATGCTCAGCCGTTGATGAAAGGAAGTAGGGGATTTTGCCGTGACTTGCGCTCTTCTCTTTCCGCAACCTCTCGGCCAAGATTTCGCGTTTACCACCCTACACCAAGGAGAGGGAGAGAAGGGGTTTACACAAACATTCCAAAACGAATGTCATATTCAACAAATCAGTGTTTCACTTCTTTCTTCCGGACAAAATACCTTCAATGAACATCATACTTGACGAGCGACTGCACTTAATGCTGTGTCTACGGATGAATTGTCGCACAGAAAAGAACTACCCATCAAACACCACATGTGGCACATTAACATAGTTAACCAGGTGGTACAGACGAAGCGTTTTGTCTCTTAGATGGTAAACGGATCCAGAGGTAGAAAGGGATAGAATGTTGTCAACAGTGGTGACATGAAACGCATACCTGTGAATCACAATAATACTTGTAGGCGTAGACCTCACGAATGAGTGACACCATCGGTTCCATGTGGCGAGCCACAATTTCATCCAAATCTTCAAATGACTCGTTGCCAATGAGAAGCGTCTTGCCCAATCCGAAGCTCTGTGGCTTATCTTTCTCGATGACATCAATGTGCTTGAAAATACCATCATCGACTTTAAGTGAAACAGTCAGGTGATCAGTGCCTTGACGACTGGGACGAATAACGATGGCGCCAACTTCGAGGGTAGGATTCATGGCGATAAGTTGATTGTAGGTGATGTTCTTGAAGTGAGGATGAAAGATAACCCGGTTCACATAAGCTCGAGTAGCCCTGGCTTTCGCTTTGGCCTCCTCCTCCTCCTGCCGACGTTGTTCGGCCTCCTCTTCGGCGTAATCGAAGAAAGCATCACGGCGACTCAAACCCATGTGGCGTTCATTCTAGGCAGTAGGTCAAACACGCAAGAAGATAAGACTTGTGGGTATCCCATCTAAAAAACGACTGTTTCCATATCTCCATCGATGACACTTCAGGCTTCGTGATAACGTGAAGGGGATTACAATTGAGCACGGAAGTAATAGGCTTCGGTCAAAGGTGCCCACAAATGCACTAATTGTACTGCAGAAAAGGTAGTACTAGTACACCTCTTCCTTGTCTTTCTACATCCACACCAATCTTAACGGATCGTGGAAAAAGAGTACATGAGAGAAACCACTCTAAGGCAGCATCGTAACTCCATTAGAGGTGGAAGAAAGTAGCACTTTTGTGCAAAATCAATACGGCATACCTGGATGTCAGATGATCGGAGAGTCAATTCCACACTGAATTTAGTAATGTCAATTTTTGACACTTTGGCCTGCAAAATTGCACCCGGGCTGATATTGTCAAGGGTCTCCTCCACAGGATGATCAATAAAGCGGAGTGGAATGAACCCCGATATACCGTTTTCCAGTTGCACCCGCAGACCGACAGGTTGGCCAGGACAATCACTGCTGTCGAAATGAGACCACATCTGAAATTCATCAAATCAGATGCGTAATCAAACTAGTTAACATTAATCCACCTAAAAAATTTGTACTGCTGCATAAAATTTGCCACACACCACACCCATCAATACAATGGAAAAATTGTATGAGCAAGCTGTAAAGATAATTCACCTCGTTGAGTTGGCGGAAATCATCCCGTCTGCAGAAGGGACACTTCCACAGACCCGTAACTTCATTCTTCGTAGGATTAGCCTGGTCTAGCTGCTCTGGTCTGGGTTTCTTAGTGGCAATAGACACAACCTGACAGTCGACGAGGCTGCCCTTGTGCAATGTCTCAGGCGTTTCGTGGGTAGCCAAACTGAAAATCTGCTCGGGTGTGAGTGGTTCAAAGGGATCTCGCAAATCACGGTAACGGTGATTTAACTCTTTACGAATATCGTATAGGGTGATGTGTTTGTCACCATGATCCTGGCGCTTCAACTCTTCCGCGAAGGCGTCCAAATCCAACTCTCGCAGACGAGCCGGACTAGTGAACAGAGGAGAGGACCAAAATGGACAATGGGTAGGCTTGAGAAACATCTACCCAGCATTGCAAAGCAATTGATACTGTAACAAATGAAATTTCTAGATTGTAGACCATGCCGACCGACCAAATGAATAACTTCATGGTCAAGCAAAGGCGCATGTACTTTTTTCCCCATAAGTTAAACTAACTTTGCAAGAAATAATGAAGATTGTGGCTTCCTCCCAACTCTAACTAGTAAAAGTCAGTGGTTCGTTACTAATCCACTATATCGGTTGCAATGTTTCACCTCAACTAAATCAATATCACAAAATTTGTGACATGAAATAGGCCAACCTCTGAACAATTTCTTCCAGCGCCCCAGTCGGGTCGTTGTCATCACCATCATCGTATTCCAGAGCGTCGACGGCCATCTGACGGGCGAGGTCATAGCTCTCCGGATGCACACGCGTAGAGTCCAGAATCTCAATGTTATCCTCACTGCCTAGCAGATCTCGTGCCGACGTGGTGTCAATCTTGATGAAGCCTGCGCAATTTATGGCCACGTGAGGTCCTAACTGCAGAACTTTTGCCAATAGTTCACGGTTCGTCAAAAACACTTTGTTTTGCTTCAATAGCTGTAATGACAACCATACACACAGTTAAAATTATGGATAAACCGATTCACCTGTTAAGAGATAAATAAATAGCATAGTTTAAAAAAAATATGCAACAGTTGCTCTTTCTTCTTCCACAAAACGTGCAATACCTGTCGGAAAAGTCGTGCAAACAGCAATACAACCACAGACCAAGCTAACAGTGACGGTGTCACTAGCAAATAATTGAGATGATGAAGGCAAGGCACATTCAAGGTTGATTCGCGTGCCAACTCATCCCTCCACCGACAGTGAACCCAAGTAATGGGTGAATCCATTTACCTTAATCATGTAAAAGGCTTTTCGTGGCCCTAGACCTGCGACAAATTGCAGTAGATTGGCAGTGTGCGGATGGAGTATGCATCGGTTCACATCGACACCGACTTCGTTGGTGCGGTTGATGAACTCGATTTCAAGAGCTCTTAGAAGCATCTCACGGGGCACCTCGTCCTGCGCGGTGTGCCAGCGCACACCCAGAATATCCGCATCGGATGGATTAAAAAGCTGCGCAAATTCAGCCAGTGGATCCTACAAGATAAGTGTTGCACTTTAGACCGACCTCACCCAGAACATAGGATTGCATCCTTGAGCCAGGGCCCACTCAAACCTCCAATGCGCCTTGTGACGACATTGGGCGGAGCATTTTCTTAACGAAGGAACGGTTCTCAATGTTGACACAAAACAATACCATTAGGCATTCGTCCCCTAATAACGAAGAAGCACTCCATTACAACATGCACAGGTAGTAAGGTTGGACACCACATGACTTCCTAATGAAGTCAATAGTGGAGTGCATTTTCGATGGAAAATTTTGTTTAAACATCCTAACCTGCAGCAAGGAAAGATGCAACTCAGCGTGTAATAAACCGGAACATCGTAGGTAGCAATTCAAACAACCTGAAGTCTGCGGCCGAGCGAAATGGCTTGTTTTAGCAGAACTGAGTAGGAAGACGGCAGGACAGCAGTGGCTGCCTCGGAGCGCGCATAGACCTCAGCCAATTCGGTGTCCATTAACTCAATATTTGGGCGTGAGGAGAGGCGGGACTCCGCCGCGAGGTTCTCCACCAGCCGTTGCACCTCGTCTCTTAAAATCAGTGAGCGTCGTGAGTTACATCCGATCACAATAGCTTGTGGTTCACTCTTCGTTAAGAAGTGGGACAATCGTCGTACATCGTCGTCCTAGAAGCACAACACATTTCAGCAGTTGGCACAAGTGATACTGATGAGTTTGAATCAGGCCATCAAACCAGTGAAAGTACCTACATGCCGCTTTCTGAATTCCTCCCTTTGAGAGCGCGTACTGTGCAAAAGACCAGATAGATTGAGAAAGTCCACGACCTCCCCATCGGCGTCCAAACGAACAGCAGTAACCACAGCTTTCACCGCTTCAGTGTCGTCCTTTAACGCAAAAGCTAGCACCCGAGCAGGCTTGGGCCAGACGGTGTTGGCAGAACGCAACTCACCACCGTCAGAGAGATAGCGACCACCATGGCGGTGACGACTGCTTCTGCCATCCTCATTATCAGCCTCCCCGGCACCGCCACCACCACCACCACCACCACCGCCACCCCCGTAACGATGGTCGTCCATCACATATGGCGCCACCTTGATACACTTGAACAACTTTTGTGCACACAACTAAAAAGCAAAGAAACTGATAACAAAGGGGCCTGGTAATGTAGTAGTTTAAGTGGCTCAATAGACTGGATGATTGCAATGATGATGATGAAAAGCACGACCTATTAGTCTTAACTTCATCCACTCCTCTGGCCAGAGTGTTCAAAGGCGACACTGCTCCTCGAGAAGCTGTTGAAATTAGGAGCCAAATCGAACAACAAATTTCGTTTGCATGTATCGTAACTACCTTAGCATTCAACTTTTACTTACCGAGCGACATAACCAATGGGGATTGCACGACTCTTACTCACCTATTAATCCAAATATTGGAATCACTTTACCACACTATCAAATACAGGGGAACAACGATTCACCTTTACAACAGCCTGTTGACTGGCATCGAGAAGTTTCTCCTGCATTTCTTTGAAAATATGAGGTTGAAGGAACTGTTCAATCGCTTCCTTCAGCACCAAGGATCGCTGCTCATTCCAGGCCTGCACCAAAGCACTGAATTCGTCCTGATGGAAGTAGTGCTCCAAATCGTCCAACAAAGAGAGACCTCGTTGCTGACACTCTGGCACATGCACCTTCACCGTAACCAATCCATCCCGGACAGCCTAGGGCAATAGAAAATCCGACATCATGCACTATTATCAAACAAACAATAAGGCAGGAAAGTATAAGTTAACCGAATAAGTTCTTAGGATTTCTATAGCAAAAATTTAGTGATTGCATAAAGCCTTTTAAATTAATTTTACTCATTGAAATAATCACCATTATAAATTACAATACTTTCTCAATCACATACGAGTTTACTATGAACTCCACTTTTGTAAAACATTCTACCTCTGCAGACAAAAAATCTAGCCATCGTTGTTTCTATCGCATTTTACTTTCCAACTCTCTCTTTCACATGCGGTTGCCTAACGCCAAGGAAAGATGACAATCACTTGGAGGAGGATCAGGGGAGTGTGGAGAATGAGGACAAGAATAAGGCAGTTCCACCTTCTTATCTTAAAGTGCAGTATGATGTCTTCTCGTGGGTAAGCTTTGCGGCAACATGAGGTCTTGCGCTGTCCTATGAGAATGAAAAGACACTCTTCTTGCCTTAGAAATGTGAAATAGTGAGTAAATCATTCGGAGATGACCGATGGCATGTTTGCTTAACGAACGTTGAAATAAAAATGCTATTTCTCACCCCAGGTCAGTCAGAAAGCCATTTGAAGTGCACTACGCCTCCTTATACGATGAAATGGCGAACAAGTTGTTAACCTTTAAAGCCTACTGTTTTCTTTTAATGCATAGCATACAAACTCCATTTATTTGGTAGCTTCCACGACTTTTCTATTTAATGTAGGTATAAAGTATTTGTTTCAGCACTCACGTTAAACGTGACTAAAAGCGCTTGTCACACTAATCCCCGTCTGTTCTAAGCAGCAGCAACATGTAACTCTTCATTATCAAAAATAGATGATCTTACAGGACGTGACTCATCACCATCATCCTGCAATTCACCACCAGAATCGAAGTTTTAAACTATTTCTGGTGCTGCACACCACACCTCCTTCAAACGCTATACAACAGATGCTAAAAGAAGCGTCTACAGCGGTTCGTCAAGCAGAAGCTTGAATCACATCAGGTCCAACCGACACTTTGTGAGGTGTCAATGTAGCAGAAAAGTAGCACAGAGCAGAATTGGGAAAAACGTATCAATAGACCAGTGCCTATCTACCTAGGCCTTATTATACATGCATGAAAATATAAATAATCACGTGCCTTTCAAGTGTCCATAATTTACGAGTTATTTCAGCGAGCTGTACCGAAACCCGCACAAACCATTTTGATCACCTAGTACTTACATTGTGTACATGCAGATACGTCACGTCACCCATGAGTTCAGCTATAGGTTTGTTCTTTAAAAACTTGACAGGGGAGAGAGGATGAGATTCGTCAATCAATCTCATGCCCTTGGATGTAGGCTTGAGATCGAGCACAGCCTGTGTTGAGAGATTCACCCGAGCCAGCTGGCGCACAACGGGCTCTCGAGAAATCTCAAACGCTAGCATGTAGCGTGCCGCACGCAAGACAGTGGCGGGCTCAGAAAACTGTGGGCACACAAAGTCAGCAGCAGCGTCAAGAGGCAGTATAGGGCACTGATTCACCTCATGACGTCGATACTGATCATGAACGTTGTCGGCAAATTGCTCTGCAGAGAGCCCAAACCTCTCCACCAAACCCGAAATGCCAGCCCGCTGAGCAACTTCGTACGCGACAGTGGTGCGCACCTGGCGCTGCCGAATCCGACGGCCTGTCATGGGATCCACGGTGGTTGTAAGAACACCTGCACCTGGTTCTCGTTTGCGCACTGCTTTAACAGCTTGGCGATTGTCCTCTTCCACCGTCTTCTTATCCGCCTCCACGGAGAGGCGCCTCATGCCATAGCTCGGATCATACTCTTCGTCGTCATCATCTGAGCGCCTAACTGAACCCTCATCCTCCTTGCGTGATGTCTACAAGAGTGGGTCCAATTGATCACGAGTTTTTGAATGCACATTTTGGTGGGGCATTAAGAGTAATATAAACCGGAAATAAACAAACCATTTTGACTATGTTCAAGTCCTTCCCCTCCCAAATTGTCATATCTTGCGTGTGACCCGCGTAGTGGAGAAGATAATTTAGCCTAACATCTTGCACCTCCTCCAATGACGTTGCGCTATTCGCCCTAAACAACAATGAGGGTGACAACTTATACTTACATGGCCATCAGCCGGATCAGCCCCTCGAGCTTCAAGTTGTTTTCGGCCTCATCAGCCTCTCTGGCCCGTGCCTCCAAATATCTACTCATTCGTTTCAACTGCCGAACCAATCCCTTGCGACGCTGCTGAAGAATCTCCCACTTCTCGTCGTACTCGTAGATGCACCACAAATCATTAATATTTAATTCCTTTTGAATACACTCCTTTCTATAGAAAGCGATGAAGGGAACCTCTGAAAGCGACTCTTTGAAGAGTTTCAAAACTTCAAATATGTTGTCCGTCACGGTTGATGGCTAGACAGTGAAATGATGGATTATGAAATCAATTGCGAGCACACCTTCTTCGAGGGACCTTCCCTGAATGCAGCATTGTAAATCCACTCGGACTCCTTCTCTAGTTCGACGAGGTCATCTTTGTAGATCATTGACCGTGGGTCAAGTCGCCTAACAGGAATAGTGCGCAATTGAAAGCGTTCTGGGATATCAGTGCAGCGAATTCGTTCATCCTCCGGGCTGTAAAAATTGCGAGCTAGATCTGTTGGATCAAAAAGCTCATAAATTCGACCCTGTGGAGCCATTTTCAGCTCACGTTTCGCCTTCCTGCGCCGTTCACCAACGTCATTATCTTCATCCTCATAATCCGACTCCTCACTGACTTCACTGCTCTGTCCACCAAACTGCTCAAAATCTTCAAAGTCGAAGTCAACACCAAATATATTCTGCGCTTGTTGGAGTGAGGGGTCCTTGTGCACTATCTGTCTTTTCTGTCTCGCTCCTCTCCCATCAGGCGCAGCATCATCAACAATGAAGTCATCCATTCCGTCTGACTCTTCGCCCTCGTCATCGGATTTAGGGGCAAACAAGGGAGCAGCTCGAATAGAGTCACCTCCCTGTCCTTCCGCTTCTTCATCTTCATCCTCAAATATCTGGCGTGCAATAGCCTCACGACTTCGAGCCTCCTTCGACGCCTTCGATACATCTACATCAGCTTCATCTTCATCATCGAGGACAAGACGTCGTTTCTTTGTCATTGTATCATTAGTACATGGAACCTACCTTACGCTGCACGTTAATGCCGACGTTCTCTCTTATGAGGAGGTAATCGTCATCATCCAACACATCATCATCCTCGTCGTCGACTCCGTCATCCCTAGCGGACTTTTCACTGGCATTACTCCCATCATCAGATCCCTCACCACCATCGTCTTCATCATCGTTCACTATCCATCCCTGACCCTCCTTTCTGCATATCTCCTCCTCGTCCAGAAGCTCCTCCTCTTCCTCACTGTCTTCAGACGAAACTGAACCCTCCTTCCTGAGTCTTTTGGGCTTTGAGGGGCCCTCTTCGTCTGAAGACACAGAGGCTTCTGACTCAAGGTAATCTGACATCACCGCAGCTGAAAGCGCCACAATATCAAGTAGTGCGCTTGTGCAAGAGCGCTATCTCAGCTAATTAAACAATCGAAGAATCTAGTTGTGACAAAAACGTTCTCCAATACTTTGAGTGCAGTTGTGCGTCATATTTTAACATTTCCGGTTGTGTCAAGACCTTAATATCAAAGAACAATCCATGGTTTCGGCAGGCTATAGCTTAGATCAAACTATCTTATTTTAATATTCACGGATGCTCTTTGAGGCTCACACCCAACTCTTAGAGTTCCTAGTGTTTGGGTTCTTATGCACCAAGGCTTTTGCACACAAAGCTTCTGTACCGCTTGCACTTTTTTTCTGTTTTTGCACACAACTCCCCATTATACCTAATTCAGGTGCTCGAGACCATCGTTAACACGTGAAGTTTTTATGCTCTCTTTTAGTATCATAAGTGTTTTTTTGGTGAGTGTCATAACAAGTAGTGCGTAAATGGCTCACTATTCACTAAAGACAAACCATGGTCAAATTGATTTGTGCTCCAAGGGTCGGAGTCTTCTGTGACTTCGTAACGTGCCACAGTAGCATGGATGATTTCTGTTGACGTACAGACCACTTGGAGTGCTATAAACAGAGATGTCATTCAGCTTTCGGGGAGGTACTATTTTTTGCAAAGTTTATTTATTTCTGTAGAATGTAGTAGAGGGCCTTAAAATTAAACCTTTTTAAATATTTCAAATGTGATACTACTTCAGATGTCGATTGCCTTCCTGCAGACCACGAGATTAAGGTGATCGTCAAGTGTGGACGTAGCCTTGGTAACCCTCCTGTAGAGCAAGCCTACGAATTCAGTCACCCACAGTATCCACCTTCCTCCCGCAATGGTCAAGCTTGGCAATCAGAGTTTTCCCTTCGGATGTCGAAATAAGCCATTGTAGCACCCTGAGACTTCCATGAAGATGAAAAAAGGCATAATACTCGGGCAGAATATGTACATTGTCGACATACAGTAGGGCTTGAGGCAACTGGCATGGCCCAGAGACCAGCCCACCCTGCAAAGGTACAGTGGCGGATGTCCAAAGTGGTCCCTTTAGCAAAATCAAGTTAAACAACCGGCACATGACACCACACCATTGCAGAGGAGGTTTTATTACTAACGAACAGAAGGGTCGGGTGCCTATAGGCATGGCGACATTAATGGAAGTACAAACCGCTACGCTTTTAGTGCCCTTGTTCTCAGATATGCTGTTTACTTTAAGTGCAACTTTTGTTACATTATTCCAACTTTTATGAAGTTTGTTTTGTTAATGGTCATGAATTCTGCCTTGCTTTTCCCTCTTTGCGACTGCTATTAATTATGATAAATGATATTTGCTGTGCCTCCGATCACGTTATAACCTTGTTTTGTTTTGATTTTTACACTGATACCCCGGTTTGCTACATTTTGCGTAGCTCTTTGATTTCCTGGTCTTACTGCAATCCTTAACTTTGCATTTTGGTTTGTTGGGTTCTCTGGTTCTTTAGTTTGTTCACAGGGACGCGTTTAAATGAGTCGACATTGAATAAATACACATGTTTACAACTTATTCATGTATATGTGTGCGATTACACTTGGGCAGTCCTTGGCGCTGTTCAGTAAAACAGTATGTCTCCGTACAAAAGAGTTCCCTTATGATGGGTTGTCATTCTTCGATGCAACGAGCAACCACCCATCCAATGTTAACCAGCACCTCACCAGACCTTTTACCCTCTGGCATAAGCTTCAAAAGTGGAAATTTGGTGAGTCAGAAACCAGAATTCTGCCTTCGGTATGACTATCTCTGTTCGTAAGAATGGGCACTGTTACCTCACCACTTTCCTCATTTCTACATGTCCAAGTCAATCCAAGATCATGTTAACCCATTTGAACATGAGTGTTGAACACAACCACTGGTTTCATCGAAGGCCATTGCAAGAAAATTTTCAATCCGATATTTAAGAATCTCTGGATAGGAATTTAGGATTGCAGAGCCTAAGTAAAAAGGGGTATATACGCATTTAATTCCCATGTTGTTGCATCTACGTACAGTTTAGCTAAATAATGTAGTAAAGAATGAGATGTAAATGCAAACAGCTCTTAGGTAAATGGAAGGGTAGAGGGAGATGAGGAGGAACGACTTTGAGAGATTCGGAAAACTGCCTTTTTTCCCACCGAGCTATCAACGGACTTTGGAAATTCTGATGGCTGTGTGTCAGCTACGGCAGTCTCATTCACAACCAGCGCCAACATCACTGTTATGTCGCCACGGACTCCACCTAAATGTCCAAAATAAGCAACTGGAATTGCGCGAACCCATCTGCACACATGCTCGTAGATCTCACATAGTCCTGCAGGAAATTAGTCGTATTCTTGTTGCAAATACTGAAACAACAATTTCATAAAAGACTTCACGGCGCCATACAAACAAAATGCAATGTGTTTGGGATGACTTTTTTCCAAACTTTGTAGCACTGTTGTTTGAGAACAGCATATGTTATTTGAATTATCGATAGAGAAACTCAATTCGAAATCAAAATAGCTTATATACATTGCAGGAGTGAATTCTAAGAGGAAAGGGTGTTTGGATGGACAAATGACTCAGGCCCTGCGTGGTATGAGAACCGAAAAAGAGGCTGTCGATTACGAACCGATTCTTACCTGCAATATTAAGCCCGTATTGGCGTGCTTCGTTGGCGAAGGGAGAGAGGAAGTTTGGATTCTCTGCGGCGTCGCGCGCGCACGAGACAAGCCGGTAGGCACACCAATCCAGCAGTTCGTCTGACGCCAAACTTAGATCACAATCCTATTGTTAAAAAAGCACGCTAAACAGTAAGCATGGACAAATAACGACGTCAAGAAAGGCAGAAGTGATTCACACGTGGCAAGTTTGCTCAAAAACCAGGTCAGTAATCTTCTAAAGAAAGGCTTGGGAGCAATCAATAGTGAGGTGTCAGTAAATGTGACTTGGATGCATTTCAAACCACATGTTTTTTGATATGAAGACAATTGCCTCGATGGAATATGGCAAAAGTGAGAAGGGAATAGGCGTCTGTTCTATCTATGTTTTGTTTACGAAAGACTAATTGCACATCAAAATATTCCTTGAGTATCAACAGTAGTACCAAAAGTTTTCAAAATGAGATACGGCTAAAGCAAGACAGATGAAAATTCAACGGAATACGTGAGGATTCGTCAAATTTTTGAGTTGGCTACATTGAATTGCAATCAGTAGACATTTGAAGTCAAGTAAATTCAGTTAGCTTTTGGATATTCAGATCAGAACTGTAAAGTATAGCACATAAACTCTACATTAAACTCGCAAAACGATAAATGATATACTAGGCGTTTATAGTTTGTTAGGTGAGTCTTGTTAACGGTAGATAAATTTGTATGATTATCAACTACCAATAAAACCACAAACATTTATCTTTGGAAAAAGTAGAAGTTATGCAAAGATTAAAAAGAGAATGGGTTCTCCTTAGCTTTTTCTAGGTATATAGGTTACCACAAACGCACAGGTCTTGTTCAGACAATTCTGTCTAGTAGGCTAAATAAAATCTAAATTGGGGATTAAAAAATTCGGAGGAACCCATGCACGAGCATTTCATTCACGTAAAGAATATTAAAAACTATAGCATGAGATTTCCCAAATGTCGGATAAAAACTTGCATTGAAGTCTGGGTTGAAACTAGTCATGATACAAAATTACTTAACCAAAACAAATCTCAATGACAATAAGTGATACGAAATAGGATGATGGTTACCTGGAGAGGTGTAAGTTCCTGGAGGATCATTTGGTCGGTGAGGTTATCAAAGAGACCATCCGTGCCAACAACTACCAAATCACTCGGTTCTAGAGAGAAGCTGTCCTGGATTGCCTGTTCGGGGCTAGAGATTTTAAAAAAAAAATCATAACTGGTAGTTGAGAAAATGAACTAACGGAACTAAGTGATGACGGCTTCATACAAAAAAATAAATTAACTCGATACAGCTGAAGTAAAGAGCGTAATTTATTTTCCCAGGAAACTGGATGCAGAGGGTATGCTAAAAAAGCATGCGTTCCGTACAATGCCTCAAGGAAGGAGGTACATTTCTACAAGTGACAATTTAAAATACTACAATCCGATCGCAAAGCATCAATTAAAGGAAAATATCGCAAACTAAAGTACAACAAAAATTTGGGCGGGTAAAACATACGAGTCACGATAGAAGTGGCCATGCTCATTTGGCGGGAGACAGGCAACCTGAAAGGGCGTGTTCAGTGTGTGCTTTTGGTTGGCAGAACGTTTGACTACTGTACCATGACGGATAACGAGGTAGCCTGAATCCCCAAGACACACTGTGTGTAGGCGGCCATCGCTTCGACACAATGAAATTACACAAAATGTTGCACTCCCTAATTGAAATCACCGAAGTCAGAATACAATGATGGAATTTATACGAAATAAAAATGAGTGCATACCTAAGAGAGGTGTCTTTGCATCCAAAACTTCACGATAACTCTCAGTTACAAGAAGCATTGGTTCATTTGGCTTAAATCGACCTGACTGAGCCAGTCTTTGACATGTCGACATGAAAGACATGGAGAACTCGCTAGGATCAACACCATATGATCGCCAACCACCTACACCATCCGCAACTCCTAAATAAGTTTAAACAAGGTAATGATGGCTTAAGATGGCATAAAAAGACCAGACGTCGAACTAATTACGTACCTAGCACACATGACACATCGGTAATGGAAATGAAGTAGGCATCGTCGCCATACGTCGATAAAGGTCTGGGTTGTATCTCATATTGCGCATGCTTGTTATCAAAACCGGATACTGATGTAACAAAAGAGAAGAAAGTTCGGCGCGTAGTAGCGTCAGAATTCTCATGACGACCGCCAATAGTCGCTAAAGTTCGAAGGAGACTTCTACCTTTGGAAATAATCCGGTACATCAGTCGATCCACCCACCCGGCATCTCAATGATGATTGGTCAGCGCTGAATTTCAAACAGCGTGAACCATAAATTGCCTATTTAAACCTTTTGGTGTTCACTCTTTTGGCATTGCAAAATCACTAATAATGTTTGAATGCATACACTGGCCTTAAATATTATTTTTTACTTAATATGTTTTAATTTTTTTGTGTCAGCGCGTGCATTTCTCCCAAAACCGTTGTAGGGTCCCAACTTTTCCTTAAAGACGAAAAACCCTGTAATACTCATCCAAATTTGTGACTTTTGACATACAAAAGGCAGCAAAACTACCAGCGCGGCCTGGAGGCTGGGGCAAGGTGCACCTTTACCAAAACTGACCGCTAAACAAACAGACAACGTACTACACCTTCGTCAATGCGGCGGAAGTACACGTGCCTCAAAATTTAATAAGACAGGTATGTTAGTTGCAAAAAATAGTCTTTATGCATTTATTATTTTAAGGAATGTACATATATTTGCATTCCTAGGACCCCCTTAAAGTCATAACATATATTACGGCCTAAGGTTTTATTTTCCCATATGTGCATTTTTAAACTTTTGCAGCTAATTCAATGCTTTTACTTCGTAGTCTACTATTTTTACAACGAAAGTCTCACTGCTGATACAAAAAAAATGGCACATCTGTAACACGCGTTTGCTCGAATATACCCCTTAGGCAACAAACGATCGGTTTAAGCCGGCCATGTGACTGAACGAATGCGTCAACTCATAAGGAAGGGGCGAGTTCTGATCTTTTATAAACTTTGGTAGTCTGTAGGCAATTTGCACTGTCTCGAATAAAAATAGCCATCCCTATCCAAATTTCTTGCTCTAGGTTTATAAAGTTGGAGGTGGGAGAGAAGCATGGGACTCACTACATTGGCGTTTTTAAGAATAGTTCAGTTTAAGGCGATTTTAAGTGGTTTGAATTTAAAGCATCCGCAATACGACTTAATTATTTGACGATTGGTGTTCCAAAGGTCTTAGAGGCAGCACAGTAGTTGATGCATCGTTGTGACTCTCCAAGTCTTCGACGAGACCATAACAAACCAAAGTAGTGAGAGCCTATGTTACCGACCTGCAGATGAGTTGGGAGACTATTAGCGCGGCCCGCGGATCAGGCTGCAGAGTGAAAGTACAACCTGCCGCAACTGGAGAGTCCGTGTATTTGAACTCACAGTTGAAGAAAGTACCAAATCTCTACACCCCAAATGATTATCATTGTTGCTCTCTGTCCCATGTCTGAAAGAGCACTGATTCCTCATCGTTTGACCAAATCAGTCGAAAAAAAATTTAGACTAATGTACTCTTGACCTCATTAGCACTTATTGCTGGGTTTGTCATCTTAACAAGCTTCTTAAGGTTTGATACTGGTTCGCACTGCATCTACAGTAATAATTGAATGCTGATGAATCAGTTTTCAACTTTGTGACAATACAGTCATTCTGCAATGCGTAAGACCATTCTAAAGTAGCAAACGCCTTATAAACCAAGTTTTTTGGCTTTCTGAGAGTACGTTTTGATTTTATTGTGCATTTCTATTCTTTTTAGAGAATTTTACGTGCTGTCTTTAATTCTGACAAGTAAGAAATGAGGACCAATGCAGGTTGCAAACATTGGTGAATACCTTGCCCTTAATTGATTTATTTATAAACGGGATTACGAAAATGAAGCGTGCAAAATAAATTGACAAATGCCCATGGTTGTAGATGGCAAAGCACAATAGAGGAGGCCAAAAATACAACTCATCTCTCTGCATTCAGAGCCAAATTGCAAACATGCAAGAAATGTCTGAACTCCACTCACGGTATACATCTAAAATGTGTCTCTGGAGGTGAGTTTATTAGGGGCAGTGCTCATTGGAATTAGTCAAGTTTTCCGCCCTCTGGGACAAAACAGACGGCTCAGAGGAGATGTTCAGCCCGCAATTGTAGTGCATGTACCTGAGACTCGAAATTGGATCATGGCCAACCTACAGGACATAAGAAATGGAAAGTTTCTGTAATCAATTCAGTTCAAAACAGCAGTTTCATCGAGATAGTGTAGAAGAGCGTCTAATTATATTGTTACTGATTTTAATTAAGTAAATCTGTACAAAGAGGCAAAATACAACAAAAAATCCATATTGACCACTGAAAACTTTTCTAAATCTATAAAACCAAAAACTCGGTGTGCGAATCTGCATATGTATAAATGGACTAATCTGCATGCTTTGTTACCAGATGGTAAACTCCCTCAAAATTAGTAAGAAATTTTACAAAAGCCAAATGATTGTCACAACTTATAACGTTATTTTTTTATTGAAAAAAAACAAGGCAATTTTGTTTAACGCTCCAATAAGCCTCATATTGTTAGTGCTCTTAAATTAGCACTTTGGGCTATCCACGACCATGCAGCCCTTTCCTGACTGTTTGTGCAGATAAATGACGTGCCGCTTTGTTAAAAAACTGTTTTTACACAAATTATTTTAGTTGCTGCCTCATAGCTTGTACTAGTGTCAGTATTTATGCTCCTGTTTTGGCATCGTAAAGACACGAGCACGCAATTTCCACGTTTTCCTTCATAAATTTTTATTTTGTAGTACCAAAATGGGTTCACATTTAGGTGCACGCCAAGGAGATGCGCTTAATTTTGGACTTTAACGTCCCATAAAATGATTAGTGATAGCCATTTCATAAAACACTGCGGAGCTGTGATTAAAATCTGATAAACTAAAGCAAGGCATCAGGGGCAATAGTAAGGAACAAGCGAAAACAAGGCATCATAAATTACGATACGAACAAATTTGCCTGTACATTTAGACAAAGTTTTGCGGAAGTACATGAGGATTTGAAGGCACCAGAAAGTCATCAGGGTGCTTAGAAGCACTAATTTAGAATAAATCACACAGAGTACATAAATGGTAGCAACATTTCTTGGACATTTCAATGAGGCATTACCAATATTTTGAGAACTCTTTGAAATATTCCTGGCCGATGCGCAATGATTAAAAGCTACCTGTTTTATATCAGGCGTTCAACTATTTATTCCAGAGAAAATAGGAATATTCCAAGTAAGCAGCTATGTAACATGACTTATTGAAAGCTGAAACTATGAGGGATTTTTTAGTGTGCTCGGTTTACAAGGTCTGGTTCAAGCATCAAAAATCCTGGTCAGTCCTGTATTCCTCCTATTCTGAATATTGAAGACACAAGCACACTTTTAAGCAGGTCATTAGCTTTGTTTTTTTCTTAATTGCAAATTGTTCAGATCATGATATATCACATCCACTCCCCTAGATATTAAGGATTTGTTTTGCTAAACATCATGTAAATATCGCAATGGCTTAAAATTGCACAGTAGCTAAATTAACAAATCTTCAAGTAATTTGTAATTAAAAGTCATAATTTTTTTATCCTGTAATAGTGATTGAAGGGTTAGTGAAACATTACCAACATTGGGTGCAGAAAAAAATGCGCTACCGATTTTCCAACTCTTTCCAGTATTCAATGCTTTCAAATAAACGCAAGGTTATTCTAATAATTATAAATGAAAACTAAATTTGGTAGGATGGGTAGTGCGTTTGTCGTCACTTGAAGGCATTTGCAGCGACGTAACTTTTCCTGTCTATGATACGAAGGGTGGATGATCCGTCCCACGGCGTAGTCGTGCAATTGCTTTAAAGCAAATAAACTCTGGTAAAAAGCAATAAGCTGCACTAGTTCAAATTTCGAAGGGAACTGATTCGAGCTAAGGGCATTCTCAAAGTTAAAAACATTGAAAATTTAAACCATTTTTCTAATTCTGAACTTTTTACCAGTGTCAAGATATAAGCCGGACGAAATCCTGAAACAAAAAAAAACAACCTTGTAAAGTGGCACAATTACGTTATGTAGTTGTTTAAAATTCATTACAACCTGAGAAGCAAAAGATAGACGAGATACGGGCATCATTGCCTCATTAAGAGCGTGGTTTTCGTCTTTCCAGGCACTGCGTGTTAATGAACACCAGATTGTAGCCATTCACGAGGCGCGGTGCGTGCGCAAGCTCAATTAGGGTGGCTTTTGCGTGTCAAATCGACGTTTTTTCTTCTCGTATCATTCCCCTCCTCCTCACTCGCCCCCTTCCGCTCCCCTTCTCCAGGCGACCCTCCACTAGACTTAAGTACTAGCTAGCAGTTGCAAAATAATTAATGGAAGGGGACGAGTAAGGAAAACTCCTTACTCGCTTACCTGTTTGGGGCGGCGGTGTTTGTAAGCCGAGTATTTAGGGCAATTAATTGCCTACTCTGTACCAGCTGATACGTGAGCGGCGTGCAAACAAACATGCAGTCGCTAGAGGAAAAATTTTGCTGAAAAAATATTTAAGTCTTAGCTGAAGTACTTAAATACTATAATAGTCTGTTACAAGCCTGCAAAAATAACTTAGAACAGAAAATTGGATGAAACTCACCTAAAAATCGTTTCTGATTTGTTGCTTTGGTTTACCAACTGTAATATTAATAAGAAAAAAAGTTCAGCACCGAAATGAAGAGGACAAATTATCCTTTTTTGAGTAGCTTAAAATTTATTATTTTGATGAACTTCATTAACTTTGCAAATCATTAAACGGCCTATAGGCATTTCCGGCGCGCTCTACACTTCTAACTTCGCAGAGTCAACTTCAATAATTGCATGCCTGCAAAATTGATCACTATCCACTTTTTATTTGCCTATGTTTTTTGCAAACTTAGTGCCACAAGTGAATTTATTATTTTCAAGTGCTTAAAATGTGGTAAAATTTAGAGCAACTACATTCGTGTGCTTTGCCAGCGGTTTCGTTTGATCCACATACAAAGGATGAGTTAGAACTACAGATGATACATTTCCTCTCAATGCAATGCTTGATTCAATCCACCTATCGCTAAAATCCTAAAAGCCAAGAAGCATCACGCATGCTACTTCGGCCTCAATTGAACAATTTTATTCCCTCATAAAGCAGTTTCAAAGAATGAACTCATGATGTGTGACCTTATCGACCGTAATTCACTACATTTTTTCGAACCAGCAAAGCACTTTTACCAGGATATCAGTCACAATTTAATCCTGATTGAAGTTCATGCCAATTTGATTATTGCCGTTATGACACTTGAGAAAAAACGATAAATCACCTAAGTCATTAAGTGGTTTGCCAATTACAAATTTTTATGACAGGGTGTTCTAGTCATTTTAGGCGGGGTTTAAGTGGAAAGTGTCGCTTCAGATGATATAATTCCACTTAATTTTGTTGATTGCTAAACACCTTTATTACTAGTAATGTAAAATTCCTTTTCAATAAGAATAGAAAGGTATTTCGGGCTGATGAAACGGTAACTAATGCCACTTTATTTCCAAACATCGAGTGTGGCAGAGGAGATCCTTGAAAGTTGCTGGTGGTAACTGTGGCTATATGCGTTAAAAGATATGCATGACACTAGTTTTCATACTTTTTTATTGGTTAACTATCAGGTTCTTAGCTCTTGCTCGACGTAATATGAGTATTTCGCTTTATATGATACTGAAGCCATCAAAGACATTTCAGTATATGCATAAACATATTTTCTGTTGGTCATCAGTTACTGTAAAGAAGCAGGAGGATGTTTCAGGTTTCATTAATTAATCTGACGAGGAAGTTCCATGACCATTATCTACTTTCATTGGGGAAGAGCAGGGTTTGGTTGTACATGTCAACTGTCTTTGTCTTTCTGCTGTGGAGTTCATGCGGGAAATGTGGGTGTTTGTGGGCATGAGGTTCACTCAAAGTGCTTGAATACGGAAAGAGCGCTTGATGCAATGGTGTTGCCTTGGTATCAGACAGAGGTGCACCGCGGATGTAAGAGTTCATTTCACGAGCTTGCGGCTCCACCATGTTTGCAGTCGGATAGAAAGCTGTAATGTACAGGTGGTAATCTGAAGTTGTCATAACCAAAGTGATGTGTGAAACTTACGCTGAAACGCACTTTACGACCTCCAAATTAATTTGAATGAAAGGGAATGTATTTTTTCCGAAGTTACACGCACATGCAGCAATTCAGCTTCTTAATTATCGGCAAAGCTGGGGAGCATTACTGAGCTACAAAAGTTCCGGATAGATCGCTCATGTCTTTTGTACAGGATGGGTAAACTTCTTTCGGTTCGAAATTGTACTTTCTTAACTTCGCATTCGTTTCTTTTCCTTGGTATTCTGATTAGCATAATTTGCTGCATTAAGCAGTCTCACTAATTCCTCATTTCCGCAAATGGACCGTATTGAGTGAAATCATCAGTTTGGTCATGGATGCCGTAACTTCAAAACAGAGCATGATTTAGATTCCCTGACTTCTCGTACGATACATTCAATAAATGGGAAATGTTTTGTGTAGGGCTACCAAAACAATTCGTGCGGGTATTGGTACAGTTCGCTGAAATAACTTGTAAATTATGGACACTTTTGAAAGACACGTGATTATTTATATTTTCATGCATGTATAATAAGGCCTAGGTAGATAGGCACTGGTCTATTGATACGTTTTTCCCAATTCTGCTCTGTGCTACTTTTCTGCTACATTGACACCTCACAAAGTGTCGGTTGGATTTGATGTGATTCAAGCTCTTCAGCTTGACGGACCGCGTTTAACTTGTCTCCAAAGCTGTAGAAGCTTCCAATGCTAGATATCAGTCTAGAATATGGAGTTGGAGAATAAAATGAGGTCGTAAAGGTTATGGCTAGATCTTTTGTCTTCGATTGTAAAATTATTTGCAAAAGTGGAGTTCGCAATCAACTCGTGTATGGTTGAGAAAGTATTATAGATTATAATGGTTATTATTTTAAAGAGTAAAATTACCACAAAAGCTTTTGTATAGCGTAATTTTGGAAAAAAATGTTTTTTTTTCATCCTCATCTAAGAGTTACCCAATAGGTATTTGTATGATGTCAAAGCTCAATAAATTTCAGCATTTTTGATCTGAGGACTCTCTTTCCTGACAGAATAGGTAAGGTTCTTTGCATGACTAAGTTTCAACGTGCTTTACTGCAGAACGCTAGACTGTGGATTGGTAGAATGGGAATTCGTTACGATAATTTAAAAGGCAAATATTTCAGATCACTTCTAAATAATTTGGATTTTACAATTGATTGATTACTATCTTCCTCGTATTATATAGAACCTTACCATTCTTCTTGCCAAAGCTGTTGTGCACACCTTGCTCATTCAGAGCTTTCTCAGTAATTGGGTCGGTTGGTGCCGAATACCTCTAAAATGTCAAAATCCATTAACATTGTGGAGTTCTCTTGAAAAGAATGCCTGTCAATCTGCAGTTACTTCTGCGAGTAGGGATTTTACAAAACATCCATTCGTAATGTGTTCATAAAACGACTACATCGATTTAAAGTAACTCAGTTTTTTATTAAAAGAGTGTGCAGATGAGAAATGACCTTTATGAAAATTAACAATGGCCGTAATTCCACGATGACGGTATAAAGCAAAGTGTTGAATGAATGCCATCGGGAAACGCCTAGTATTTGCTAATCATCAAATATCTGGATAGAAAATCCGACATCATTGGTTTTAAATTAAGTACGGATTACAGGTTCCGGTCACCAACGCGAGTTTCCCACGCTTGGCATGCCGGGGCCAGGGCAGCACTACCTGGGGCTAAGGCATGACCACCCAGTGGTTAGATCGCCAGTGTGTGACGGCTTACTCCCTCTACCTCCACTCAACCAAAAAATTGTCCGAGCAAGAAGCTCAACACGGACAAGAAAATGTTAATTATAAAAACTGACAGTCTACAACACATTAGACTATTCAAATTTTATTCTGATCCATAAATGCTAACGCCTTTAAACTACATGTCAAGCTGTGACGGGCATGCCGGTAGAGGTTCGAAGTACGCAACTTGAAAAAAAGGGATTTTTTATTTTCAATTGTTTACGTTTGATGAACGACTTATTGGTTTGCAAAACTACGTTCGAGAAAGTATAGGTCATGCCAATATACCATATTTTCTTGACATCGATGTTGTCTCAGCCCAACGAAATTAGGTTTCGTGGTTTGATGGTATATCTTGCGAGCTCTCGGAAGAAGAGACTGTGTTGAAATCGGGCTTAAATACTTCATCTATTTACAACGTACGTGTAATTTGGATATTTAGATACATTATAGCTCAGAAAGTCTCCCTCAAGCTTGTTTGCTAATAACCAAGTGACCTTATTGTTTGCACAATTCGGCAGTCACCTGCAATAGTTCACACTGCTAAAAACTGATGATTATTGCTAAATATTGAGTTCCAAGTATATTTGTGGTAATATTTGCTGATATTTTGGAGGAAAACCAAACACTTGATCCTCTATTTACTTCACCTTAGGTGAATGGTTAATTGGTTGCTCTGGCACTAAAGCATCCATCCAACGTGAGGGGAAGCAGAAAATGAGAAAGCATTTTTTTTGAAGGTGATTTCAGGTCTTTTGTCTAACACCATTAAGGATAACTTACCGTAAGCGTCCCTGACTGTGTACTAGATCTGGTGTATACGAAAATTCTTTGAATGCCACCAGGAATAATTCACAATGCATCAAGTATTTTAAGCATAATGCTGTAAATGTTAAAATCCGTCCAACTTATCAACTGCATGAGGAGCGGTGTTGGCATTAAAACGATATGAACTAATAGTTTTGTAGGAGAAGTTAAAACGGTCAAAGTGAATTTAATTTGGTCACTGCTTAATGTTTTAGTCTTTTTCCGCTTTATTATTTCAGGATGTATGGATGTCGCAAAGACTTGGATTATTAGCGACAAGAATTGTAACATGTTTGACTAGCTTGTATTTTTGGAAACTAAAATTTTAATTCGTTCATACTTTTGAGCATGCTTGGTTTGCCCATTTTTAAGCACGTAATATTAAAGTACGTAAGATCATTTTCGGGAATGGGTAGTAGTTATACCCTTTCCAAAGTTTGTTGCGATAAGTGGTAGTGAGAAGGTAAATGATGAAAAAGAAATAATGCCTTTCCTATTAGGAATACTACTATTTACTATTTACTGATTTAGTAGCAAATGGCATTCTTAAAATAGTATAAACACTTGATGTAGAAGGAAATTTTCACCAGAATTTCAATTACTCAGCTTACCGAAATCTGTGCAATTGAAGGGCGCACTTGACACTGCATGTTGGAGATTTGACTAAAACTGACGGCTTCACAGTCTGTGGAGCATCTAATTGGGGAGGCTGACATTTCTTCTTCAATATCGAAGGAACTTATAAACGGCTGCTGTGCTAGAAACATTTGCTCCTTCGTCCAACTTCCAACTGCACTGTGGTCATTTGGGGCATAATCCTGCTTAACGCCTTCACCGCTTACACAGGCAACTCTACCCCTACCACCACATTCTTGTAATTTTCGTCGATTTCGAATCAGACAAATAACTATAAAGAGGATGACTGAACAGGCTAGGAGGCCAGTAATAACGAAGAGAATCGCATATTTGCTATTATGTAAAATCCCAAAAAGGCTTGTGACGAATCCATTGTTTTTCTTGTATCGAATGTACATTAGGGCGTCCGAATAAAGTGGTGGATTTCCATTGTCAGAAACCCTCAGGAGAAGTTCAAAGAGACCGCTCTTACTTTGGAATGGACATTCACTGTTCAATACACTTACCACCCATGTGATCTGATTAATATGGAAGTATTCATTGGCATTGATGAATTGAGGCTCTGAGGCAAGATTTAGGGTATGGTTGGCATTCAAAAAAAACGATCCGTCGCTGTAATAACTACCACTGACGATACTGAATGAGAAGTTAGCATTAGGCTCTGTATCAGCATCGGAGGCCATAAGCTTTACTATGTTGAGTCGTGCAAAAGCTTGGTGCGATATGTTGACGAACGCAACACAATGCACTCTATCAAATTCAGCGTACCTGTTACTCCATCGAACAATTTTTGACACTGCCGTTATGCTAATTTCCTGATGCACTTTTTCTGGCGCTTTCAAAATAGGTCTATTATCATTCACATCCTCTACATTAATAATAATTCTTTCCAAAGTTTTTCTTGAAAATGGCCGTCCCAAGTCAGTGATCTCAACTTCAAGCTGGTATTGCGACACGAGTTCGCGATCAAGTACAGCTCTGGCATATATCTTCCCCGATATTGGGTTAATATCAAATAGTTCATTTGACGATATGAATCGCACTGTTCCATTCTCTCCAAGATCTGGATCAGAGGCTTTTAGCTGGCCTACAAGGTCTGAATATGCAGGTCGGTTTTCAAGAATCTTGAACGTACATATGCTTTCCAACACCGGACTGTTGTCATTTACGTCATCAAGGATAAGAGTTATATTCGCTAGTTCATATCCTGAGGGAGGTGTTCCGGGACCCGTCATGTCTATTTCCATTACTCTTACCGCGAAATATATTTCTCCTATTTGTTCACGGTCGAAGTTTCCTAGTGTGTAGATCCTACCACTGGAAGAGTCTATTCGAAAGAGATTGCTACTACTGTCCACCAACTCGAATTTCATTTTTGGTGTCGCATCGCGATCGGTCGCTTGAATATTCACAACGAAAGAGCCAGGAGGAGCATCCTCAGGGAGATGAACTACTAAATTTGACTGCTTTTCTGTAAAGTGAGCGGGATATTCATTTACGTCCACAATATTCACTTGAATGTTCTGTCTTGCAATTATTTTGGGGTTTCCAGCATCAGAACACTCAACTTGTAGAGCTATTGGTGTATGGGGGAGCATAGCCTCCAAGTCAAATCGAGTTTTCGATTGTAGACTATACATTTTTCTCTCACGGCCTGAACCCGAGTAGCGCAGTCGAAAAGGCATATTGTTTCCCTTGAGTTCACAGGCGACTTCACCATTTTTGCCGATATCTTTATCACCGGTCAAAATAATTCCAATCTGAGTTCCTATTGGCTGATTTTCTTCAACCCACAGTTGAACATAACCATCTATAGATTTCTTCACACCAGCGGGAGGGCTTATTGGTTTGACTTCAATCCACGGAAGATGGTTATTCACATCTTCAATATCTATTTGAAGCATCGCAGTACCGGTTTTAGGAATAGTTCCACCGTCTTGGGCAATCACGGGGATTTTCAAATGGGACATGATTTTAGCATCTAGGGGACTCTTCACCCAAACTTCCCCAGTGTTTTCTTTTATTCCAAAAAAGTTAATCGAGTTATGGCCATAAATTTGTCCGAAGCGATACGTGAGCTTTCCAAAATCGCCTGAATCAGCGTCTGTCGCAGTAACTGCAACAATAGTTGTCATTACAGGTGTTGCCTCTGAAATTCGCACTTCATAGAGTTCTTGATCAAAGTGTGGGGTATTATCATTAATGTCTGTTATAAAAATTGAAATATTCTGATAGGCGCACTGTGGTGTCGGTCTGCCTCCATCACACACCTTCAGTTGTCCCTTATAGGAATTTTTTTCTTCAAAATCCAGTTTTTTCTTAACAACTAGGTTTAACTCACCTGAAAGGACAAATTTTAGGGCAAAAGTTGAATTCTCAATATCACCGCCACACAAGCTGTAAGATTGGATGCCATTACTGTCGGTGTCCTCGTCTGTTGCGCCAGTTAGTGGCACTTCGTAACCTGTACTAACGCCTTCACTTATAAATATAATGTATGGAGGGTTCGTTATCCGCCCTCCAAATTGATTCGGGTCACTGTGTTGAAACCGAGGGGCATGATCATTTATGTCCTCCACAATTACAGCTATATTTATCCAATGGTCTGGAGGGATGTGAGCAATGAAATCTACTTGGCACTTGTTTAGAGAGTTGTCGGTACCGCCGAGTAGATGGTCAGCAAAAGAGTTGGAAGCAGAAATTCCCCCCTGTTGGGGACAAATCGTTTCCCGGTCAATGCGTCCGGCTACAACGAGTCTACCTGAATTTCCGTCGATTCGGAATAATCCCGTAACCTGATCTTCATATAGCTGTATTCCTACGTCGCCACCGGTGGAAACAATGCCATTTAGACCAGAATCTATTAAGATGTTTCCAATGAATGTCCCATTATCTGATTCCTCTTTTACGACATAAGTGATTTCACGCCTTGCCCTTGCAAGAAAGAAGATAAATACTAGGTAAATAGAAGATCGTGGTGACCAGACTGACATCGTTTCGATAGCGCAATATAAGATGGTTTCTCTTACCCTTGACTATCGGGTGCCAATGTGATTGGCCAGCCAAGTTCCCCATTAATTGGCCAATAGTAAAAGACCACACACGAGTCTCTTCGAGTAAGGGAAGGAAGGGAAACAGTAACGGTGATCTTTTCTTAATAAGCATAATTACTGGATAAAGAGTCTATCTGATTCAGCATATGAAATCGCAAATGAATAGTAATTGAAGTTTTCAGCATGATCATGGAAGGTACTTAGCTTCTCTTAAAAGTCACGTAAAAGTGCTCAAGTATATTTTGATCTGAATATATTAATAAAACCAAGTGCAACATTTTTGGGACTTATCTTCAGGGATTTTAAAACTTACATTCTCATGCAAAATCAAACTTGTGGAAGACTTTACACTCAAGACAATTTATTACAATTGACAGATCCCAATCATTTTGAAATGCCATCTTTTGTTTTGATTTGATGTGACTAACATAAAAACGAAAATATGTTGAAACTCTAAACAGATAGTTTTGCTGGCAGGAGGGCATTAAATGCAACCTTCGAAAGATTTTAAGCAAATGAGTGGCTGATCAATGCCTGCTGTTTGCTTGCAATACCATTCCATATGCTCGCATTTGTGCTTGCGGCAATCTAAATGCTAACTTCATCTATCAGAACAAGGCGGGGATAATGCCACACCTGATAGATCAAACTAATTCACTAAGTTTTCAAATTTATTGTTAATTGGGCGGAGTGAGTGTGCTAATAAGGATTGCGTGCAAAGTAGGCATGACGAACAGTGTTAGATTAAAATATTTGAGCGTTCTATGGTCATTGTGTTCTTTTACTCATTTAATCCGTCTGAATTAAAAAGGACATACGATTTCTTCGATCTATCACTTTATTCTATGATCAGAACTTGTAAAAGTTGCCTTTAACTCCCTCATTTAGATCGCTGCCTTAAGTGCACGCGCTTGAAAAGTAGTGTTATTTTCAAATCTTAGGCCCTTAATCTTATTCGATTATAACCTTAGGTCGACCTGCGACTTAAACATTTCAAAAACGCATGAAATGTAAAAATACTGGAAATCTCGAAGCAATCAGGACCCCTTTTGAATGCATAATGGGTTGCTTAAATAAAAAGGGAATTTTCATGCTCATGTGCTATTGACAGCAAACACAACTGCCACTTTTAGGTACTGGAATTACTTTTGCAGCTTTAGCAGGCAAAGTAACGAGCAGGCACAGTTATTTTGTGGGGTTTTTTCAGAGTTTATTTCCGAACAGACACCAGATTTCGTAAACAATCATAAGCACTAACTATCAATCATGAAGGTAAATGGAGGGTTTTTCAACACACTAGGGGCATTTTTAAGATTAGATTTTTTTGCCATTTTACTTCTGCAGCAATGATCTCGCTTACCAAGTCAAAATGGTTTAACGATTTACTAAGAACGTAAAAAGGTTTCTCCTTTCTTTGACAATTTGCATGCATGTCAAAATGTGGATTCTCCTATTCAGGAATTAATAATCTATGCAACTCTGGCACTCGTTATGTACCTGTCAAGGCAGCGAGGGAGCAAAAAGTCATTTAAGGAAGTCAATCAAAGAAATGTATTTTTTGCTGCGCAGTAAGGTTATTTGGATGAACTTTAGGTGGTTTATCAGACTTAACAGCCAATTCCATCCCCTTGCTTGAAATGTTGCGTCTTTCTTATGTTAACTGCGACATTTGAAATTTTCATCTGCGTATGCTCAGTAAGTAGAGAATCCCTATAAAGAGAAATTCATTAGGACTTCTGACTCCCGGTATTAACGCACGTTTATAAATCAAGTCCCTATGTGGTAGAACTGAAAATACCACTAAAATCATTTGTCTCTATTATCGTATTCGCAGTCAGTATGCGCATAAATGTCAGTTTGATCCCATTATTAATATCTGATATTTAGCTAACTGGGAAAATCTGTGCCAAGTGTTGATATAAACATGTGCGGTTGAATTTAAACAATTTTATTAGGCTACTAGCATCCTTCCTCAAGACGGGTTATGTGTATTTACAACGTACATTTATGAAAAAGGGCCACTGACTCTGAGCTAAGACGTATGGCACATTCAAAAAAGCCTAGGAGGACGAAATAAATTAGGTACAAATTCTCACTTTTGATTCCCCATTACACCATTGTTACCATATTTTTATGAAACAAACTTTGACAACTTATGAAATAAAAGTAGGTAATTATGCGTTTCGGATTTATTCAACAAATAACGGAGCAGACATGCTACGAGTGAGCTCTACGAATAGCAGAATATGAAAAACTTATTTGCCAATTCTCTACCTAATTTACACGTTTACAACCTCCTAGTGGCCATGAGAAAAAGGCCGCAGTGAAGCAAAAACACGAATGTCCGTGAGATGGGTCGTACTCCGATTGTGGTTTATCCAATCGACCGTCAGCTGTGATAAATGTCCAAATGTAACTTTTACTTGCGAAGAGAGACGCCTTTCATCAGCTAAATGAGTCACTTTAGCAAATAATGACGCTGACATTTTGTCTATAATATTCTCTGCTTGGAATTGTTAGAAAGTGATAAAGCTTATAAATGCATTTTACAAAATTATAACAGCACGACTTCATAGTTAGCAGTGTGATGCCACTTGGCTATCCACTAGAACTTGATAACGAGTGGAATGATCCATTTTCAGTAGCTCATCTTAGACCACCTTAGCCTGGCTTAAAGAACAATGGATGCCACCAATTCTCTGAATTGACAAGGTGGTGCCCTTCAATTAAACGGTGTGCAGTTTTTTGTTTCATTCATGACAATGTGAAAATACCAAATTTATTGTTTACTTCCTTTTGTTGGGAGGTTAAAACTGTACGGCTTTAAAAAAGTAGATAGGATGACCTTCCGGGAGTTGGATATTACAATTTAGTTTGAGTTGGAGACACGAGTACAAATACTACTTGGGTGATTGAGTAGCGAATGTGTTTGCATTGCCTTCCCATTAACTGGGAATCACTCTATTGTAGCATGCAAATTAGCGACAATTTTACGATGTGGATCAAACTCACTTTAGCATCATTGAGAACGAAAACATATATAGAACCGGGAAAGTTATGCTTTGTGGGTTCTTGTTAATTATTCACCAATATTTCTCGCATATATTCTATGCGGAGATTGGATAGGTAATACATACACTACTTTAGAATACTTAAAGTCATTTTACGGTAGCATAATATTTGCTAATTAGACTCATTTGGGAAGTCAAGAGGAGGTTTATTATGCAAATCGCAGTGTTTTTTCCAAAGACATTTTACCGCTCCTCCGAGTTCAATAGTTCGATTTGCTTCATTATTGCTTCGTTTGATGAGGAAAGTAGTTTTGATGCTTTTCCAAGGGCTTTATATACAGAAACCAGGGCCTTGACCGTTTTTTTTCTAGAATCGATAGTAAAATTGGCATCTAAAACAAGAAAGTAAGCTTTTTAAATCGTCAAACAAGTTGCCTCTAGTGCTTAAAACATGCTGAAAGTCAAATCAAAATTCCTTGCTAAAATCTTGACTTGCTTGGAACTTTTGATGACATCATTGTAAAAGCCTTGTAACAGGTCTTGATGACAATCCACTTTGTACCCTATAACTGCCAAGTTTATTTTACAACCCCAGTAAACCACTTTATCTAGTAATCCAAAAAAACTTGCTTGTCAGCAAACCTATTAGGGTGATTTAGTGCTAAGTTCGTCCGTACAAAAGTAGCTAGTGAGCTTAAGATGTTTCACGGAATTCTATGTACATTCATGAGGATTTGGGTAAATTGTTTTGCAGACTACTATTAGAAACCCATGGGATTGAATTATGAAATCGCATCTCCAAACTTCGCTTGAGATGCCATGGTTAGGACATGGTTTAACTGGTCAAAGGTTACTCAATTAAAAGGTAACAAGAAACTTATTGATAAAATACTTGGAAGTCTTTTTCGACTTTCGTCGGAGCTTAGTTGTTAGTATTGTAACCATAAAAGTTTGCCGTTGTTTTATTTCATCTAGTAATAAATTGCGGTAGTTAAAAGCCTATTCGATTCAGGCGTGTGCCTTTAGATGAAACTTGGATGGAAGTGAAAATAGTGATGAAACCTGCTCCATGACCGTTTTCTGGCATTTTAATAAATGTCTTGCAAGTTGCGAACAAAATTTTCTGATGAGTTTAAAATGAACTAAAAATGAATTCAAACAGGCTTACCTTTGCTAGAAATGCGACTTGTCTCTGAGGTCATCGACGAGTCTGAGGCAATATCGGGACCGATAGAATATTCGTAAGGAGTCGGGGAGCCCACAGATCGATCACACCAGTAGGTTGAGGGACCTTCATTGTTTTTGAATTTTTCTTGTATTAGGCGAAAATATGGACCATGAACCTCAATTTCATGCCTTCTTCCACATGATTTTACCTGTGTACTGAGATTCCGCTTATACTCACCCGTCTCATGAAACAGTCGAACAGAGGATGCTTCAGGGGGTCTGAGAACTTCATCATCAAGCATGTAATACAAAAAATAACGCACACTCAGGTGACATACCACATTACTGATAAGATAGCCATGGAGAAATAATTCCAGACAGTTGGTGTAGAAAGAATGCGACCAAAAATACGATGAATCATTAGGTAAAATGCGCTTGTTTTAGTTTGCGCCTACTCATCATGCTATGGTTATAAATGTACAAACTTTTGTTATGCATACGACGTAATGACCTCATTTAGTACGATCGTCTTAGAGCTCTGAATGTTTAAAACCGACCTAGTAACCTCGTTTGGCCCTTGAACAACCGAGTTTTTAAGTCACTCCAAATCGCCTTGCAAAGTCATGTTACTTAAATTACATTTCTGATCGACTAAATCAAAGATGCCCATTTAGGGCAAATTTAGAAAATATGAAGCATATAGTAATGTAAGTTATATAAAATTGTAATTTTAACCATCCCTTTTGACTTTTTAGAATATTTAAATGTTAATGCCTGCGGTATGTCTCTTCTCGATAAAATGTTGCCAAACGGTGAATTTTCCATTGTAGCATTATTTACTAGATAACATGTAAAATGGAATACATTTAATTTGATGCAAAAACTTCTGGAGTGTGCTATTTGACAGCATCAACTACCTGCACCTTCCTGTTGGTACTTGTACGCCAGTCGTGAAGCTAGGTACATGGAATAGGGTTTGCTAGCTTTCATTCGATTTACTTTTTCTACGAGAACAGTGTTAATAGTAGACTTCGATAACTCCGAATAGACCTCCCCAGAGAGCTCAATTAAGATAGCATCATAAAAGCGGTAATTTTTCGCTTATTGGTCGATAAATGCATAGCCTAATTTCGAAATCATAAGTCGTGGCTCACCTCCAAGTTTTGAATAACTGGGACCAACTGACGTATCAGCAACTTCGATTCCCTGCTGATTAACCTCGTCATTAATAGAGATTGAGCTAAATCGTTTCTCAATTTCGGATTCCAGTTCCCCTGACCTTGAACATCTTTTCATTACCTCTGATTTCACTGTCTCAACACCTGAATCTAAACAATAACAAGGTGACAACACATTGTTTTGATTATCGCTTTTAAGGTCGCCTCCTAATGCGGACAATTTCAAGTAATCTGTCTGAGCCATTTCAGCTCTTGGCGGAATTTTCGAAAGTGCGTGTGACGATGGGAACTTGTCTGATGACAATAAACACGACGGCCTCGACATTGTCAAGGATGTGATTTCCGGATCGCAGTCAGAATCAGGAAGCGGTGAAGGGCATTTCAGGGAGGATAGTGACGAGTCTTGATATATCCATTTACCGGTGTAGCTCGTGCCCTTGGAAGATACGTAATTAGTTGTTGGATTTATGACCTTTTTGGCCGATAAATTTTGTCCCTTGGAGCTTCCATTGTAAGCTTTTGGATGTGTTAACACGTATGAACTTGCAGAACGATCTTCCATCGTTTTTATGTCTAATTGCATTGTTCGTTCTGATTTTTGATCATGGAATTCTGATTGTTTACTTAAAATGATCTCTTTTGGTACATCAATATTTTGCGTTTTATCGTTCTTCCAACTTCCGTGCTCCACCACATCTGTGGTTTGCCACAAGCTAGGTTCACGAATGGCTACCATGGACTGCGCCTTCGAAGCAGGTGAATAAAGTGATATCGCTGCTTTGATATATTCGTGTGTTCTATACTTTATTGAAGCCGGTGTATTTTTTGCAAGATCTTTTGCAGGATAATCATCTATGTTACCTTTACCATCGTTATCAGTTGCATCTCGAACGTCCACTGAATGGGAGGTTGCATGTTCTCCCAGTTTATTTGAGGCAGACTTACGAGGATTGTCTTTAAAGTATAATTTCCTGGGAGATTTTCCAAAGTGAAAAGCATCAGACTTTGCCGATTTGACATCCTGATTCTTACTCGAATCGCTACAGGTATCGCCATCAGGGTCGTGCTTCATACTTTTGATCGCGGAACAGGTACGTCTAGCCGTGTTAAAATCGGCTTCATTTTCAAAAATATTAATTAGTTTGACTCGTTGAGATGACTTTTGAACACTATTTTGCCTTCCTCTTACTTCGTTTTTAATTACGCTATTGTGGCAGAGTGGGATTTGTGATGGAATTTCCGGATTTCTTTCCTTTGCCTCCTTTAACACATCGTTCTTAGGTACAGATCTGCTGATAGGTGATGTAACATTTCCAATTCCCAGAGCTTCAGATCGAGCATTAAGAACATCCACACAGTCTCCTGTACTTTTATCGTCGTCTGCAATTATTGAGTTGGAAATGGGAACTAATTCTTCTATTTGCGAAGACGCGCACTTTTTACTGACTGAAGGAAAATATGACTTTGTTAAAGTAGTTTCCCTGGTCTTCAGATCAACGGCGCCTTCTGGATTTGGTCCCAATGATTCATTTTCACTCTCCATATTGCTAACTGCTGGACTTCGCGATGTGTTCACGATTGCACTAGAAAAAGTTTGAAGGTGATCCAAGATAGTAGGTTCAATGCTGCTTTTAAATGACCTATTAGCATTAATTATTCTGTCTTCATCCGCTTGTTGATCGCTCATGGTAAAGGACACTACATAGGGATTCGGGACTTTGTTTTTTGTTTTATTGGAGTTTATGGACAGGTTTAGATGCGGTTCACTCGCTGAGGATTTATTTGACAAGCAATTTTCCACTCTTTGCTGTGAAAAGGGTTCCCTATGTTCAAACGAGTAACTTCTCCTTTTATTATAGCGAAATGCTCTGAAATTTTTTTCAAGTGGACCAGTGAGTCTCTGTTTCATTTGTTCTATACATGCATCACCTAAACATTCATCGCCAAAATCTGTGATTGTAGTAACTTTATCCGTTCTGGAATCTGTCAGTTTAGGTATTAGATTTCTTTGAACTGAAGAAGCATTTTTATGTTTACCATGAATGTTTTCCTGACCATAGACCCCTTTTTTTCGAGTTGACTGGCTTTTGGGTGGTGATGATCTTGTATTTGGACTCAAATTGCAGGTTTTTCTCTTCTTCTCAACTTTGAATCTTTTAGCAGTGGAATTTGGGGAACATTGCAGGTCCCCATAGCCCTTACCATACGTGTTGGAAGGTCTTGACGTTCTCAATTCAATACACCTGTTACGATATCCATCTGCCGGCCTACCAGAGAATAGTGGCTCTTTCTTTTTAGAATAAGGTGATTCGCCATCAGATTTTATCGGACTTATTTGGTGGGACAGATCATCTGTGGAAATAACCAAATTATAATCTGAGGCCATTTTACCAGACATGTGGTTTCTAGGTCTTGAGTTTGGTTTTTCTTCTTGGTCTCTTTCCTTATCCCAGTCACTACTCACTTCTGAATTCAATTGCAACAAACTAGGTGAAAGAGTTGGTGACTTTGCGAGTTCCAATAGAGTCTCGGTTGATCTTATATCTGACAAAAGTTCATTTTGTTCTCCGAAACATTGTGATTCCGCCAAAGACGTACATTTTTGATTGTCACTAAGTTTGAAAGAGGCAGTGGCATTCGCTTTTGCTATTTTAAAGTACTCTGAGGGGGATGTACGTCTGGAAGCTGTCAGTATGGTTTCAGGCTCGGCAAAGTGCAGCAGTCCTTCGCTCTTCTGTGCGCCAAGTTTGGGCTGCTTTACGAAATCATAGCTTCTTATTGGACGTATACCTGCACCGCTTTCCACCGAATGTTCATTTATTGCTTCCAAGGGCGTCTCAGTTGATGCTTCTACAACTATGGGGGAGTGGATTTCTTCTCCACTTAATACGATTGGAGTATTCTTTTCGTGAGTTGAAAATGTGTGCTGTTTTCTTGCAGCGGATAAATGGAACCACGGATTCACAACCTGATTATCTGATGTTTTGGTTCTTTTAGTCGGTTTGGGCGGTTCTGACCCTAGCGTGATCTCAGTATTTCCTACAGCAACCAATGCTTTTTTTATGCCATTTGTCTGGGGTGGTTTACCTGCCAGTCCATCAGCCTCCGCTGTGACTAGCGTTAGCTCACCCTCACTATGTGAAGGAACAGGATTGACCTCCGTCTCCCGAACAACGGAGACACTGTCGGGTGAGGACCATCGCATTTCTCCTACGCTGTCGCTCGTTGAGTGTGCGTCGTCTGGAGAGGGTGAAATGTCATCCATATCACTAAAACTACCAGTGAAACCGACGTCAGATTGTACTATATAATAAGGTGCATTTGTTTGAAGGGTTTGAGTAATACTACCGAGGCCAGATAAAGATAGGTTAGAGAGCAACAACTCATGCAATTCAAGTGAGCGATTGCTTTCAATATCGAACCGCACATTAAAATTTTGACGAGTAATGTAGGTTGGGCCTTTGTTCAAAATCACTGCACCTTCATGGTTAAATTTGGTGTCAAAGTTCCCCTGAATGCTCTCAGGGTTTTCAATAGGGTCTTCATCAATCAAGTTTTTTACGATTAGGGATGTTTGAAAAGTCTCCGTCTCTTCCAAACTCGTAACATATTTAAGTTTTTCAGCAGTTGCGACTATACGGGAAGTTTCTTCATTTGGTGTCCAGAATTCTGAAGAAAGCGTTTTTTCAAATAAATTCATTTACTATTGTGAGGCTATGTGGAAATCAATGAACTGCGTATTTGAGCTTTTTGAAAATTATTTAAAAAAAAACAATAGTTGGAAAACAACTGATAGGAAACAGTAAACTTTAAGTAAATGAATCAGTAGGTCAAATCATCGCTGTAATGCATTTATTTTCCACGTAAACTAATGTAAGGACATACTTAAAGTCGTGAACGCTGCGATAGTTGTAAACCTATGGCTTCTCACTTTACGCAAAATACCCTAAAATATGTATCCATAATGAGTTGCGGAAGTGTGTTCACACCTATTATTAGTAACCGTTTCAGTAACATTATTTGATAAATCCATTTATAGAAATGGTGTAGCATTAATCCCACCCATCGTTATGTTCTAGAATACGCAACACAGAACATTTAAACAAATAGAATTTTTCACTAAATGCAGACATTTCGTGGTAATTGGAATTCATGTCACATGCATAACTCTAAATGTGAAGCCAAAAGCGAAACTCATAAATAAGGCTAAAGATTAACCGGGAATTTGGCAAAGCCTATACGAAGGTGATGATCTTAACACATTCAAATCTTCAAATGGAGTAGTTCTAATTATTTTTACCACAGATTGTTAATGGGATGGTGAAAATCAGCATGAGATAGACATATTTCTGGCACGTTTTAAGAAGTGTTTTATTGAGCAACAGTTTTATAATTATTTTGATTAGACTCAATCTTGACTGTGCGACAAAACAACATCAATCGCTGGATTAGGTTGTTCACTCTTGATCATTCTCGGCTATTTTGTTGCCTTTGACTGCTAGGCGTAAAGGTTGCTAGCATAAATCAAATCCGGAATTTTTGCTTAATGAGTATATACACTGAAATTAACAAGATGCAGCATGATTATCGAATGCATGATTTTCCCTTATGTAAAAAACTAAAACAATATTCCTTATATACGATATTCCAAATAGTGCACCATATGCACCTACAGATTCCCCTATGTAGTATGGGCCAAAATTCCCGGTAAGGGCAAAATGTAAGAACGAACCTTGAATTTTCTTGCCTAGCACGAATAGGGCCATACTGTCTCCAAACCAGGCCACTTCTCTGAACCGAATTACTTCACAGGGCAGAGATGCCGGCAGTTCAAAGTCACCCATCGCCAGGACGAGAAACCGCGATTTCCAATTATAATTTTTAGCCGTTGATTGATTTAACAGTGGCAGCAAATGGCCCTTTGTGAATTCATTAAAGGCAGTGACATCGTGATGAGTTACCAGAAATAGAACCCTGCTGGCTTTCGCAAATAGACAAGCATAGACACGGAAAGGATCAGACCAAATGTCAGAAGCAATGATGTCGCTGGAAGAGATGTGCGTAACAGAGAGTGTAGGAATCTGGTTCATCACGTAGTTAGCCATATGCCGCGCCAAATCCTCAGAGTTGTTGAGAGCCTCTCGTCGAATTTTCACTCTAGTGTTATCTGCTTTGGGATGTTCGTTAAGAAAAGTCGCCGGAATGATCAGAGCATGGTGGAAAGCGCCACGAGCCATCACTTGTGCGCGTCACTTACTTGTGGAGGAGGCTCGTTTGTGTGAGCTGGCTGAGCTTGGCTCGCGGCATTTGCATTGGTGAAGCGCTGTGCGACGTGTCGATTGGTGCGAGTTGTGTGTTGTGCCAGCGTGCTAAAATGGTGAATGGCAAAGTAGCCTGTCACGCCTGGGCACCCATTAGCCTAACAACTGTGAAAAAAGGAATTTTAAGGATTGCTTTGTTTTTTATTTGAAGTTCGCAAAAAAAATCATATTTCTTCGCAAGTTAAAAGATTAAACTATAGATGTGGCTGGGAATTAATCAAGTTTTAGAGCCTAATTCTTACTAAATAACTGAATAAGTCATTGCTATGTCAATCAGAGACTTATAAAAGCTCAGCAGCAGATGAAATCATGCTTTTTCTCAAACCTAATTAGCCAAGTATTAATGTGCACGGTTTAACATTTACTGCCGGGCTGGGTCGAAACAGTATTACGTACAACCCTTGTGGCTTGGGTGCGCCGTTATTTGAGGAGGCTACGGTTTTAGTACATACGGCTCAGTCTTGTCATGACACGGCGCGGCAAAGTGACAATTGCCAGTAGCCAACGCAGCCACCCACCTACCGAGGCCAGCCCTCTTGTTGATGAACATAGTGATAAGCAGTAGTGTGCAGTGCAAAACGAGGTCAGGTAGGTTCAGGAAGCGTGATTTTAGCTACACTTTGGGTTGTTACCTCTTTATCTTTACCAGTCTTACCTGGCCAAACCCGAGTTTTAGAGTTGATGTCTCTATCGAAAAAATTACAATTTTAACAGTTCAGCGAGACTTGTACAATTCCATGGGAGTGTCACAATCCAGTAACGCACTCGCAAATGGTGGAAGTGAAGCCACTGTAAAAAACTAAGGAAACTAAAAATCCTTAAAAGAGCGGGTGGAAATAAAGGCAATTTTAATGTAATATGATGTCACCTATTTGTGAATCCTCGTCATGCCATGCATCAAAAACCAAGACTTATATGCTATTTGTTTGTAAATTGGACCGTCCCTGTAATTATCTACGAAGTTGAATAAAATGTTGCCAAAAACTGATTGCAAGCAAAAAACTCAACAACGACAATTCTAAATTTATAGATAAAAACCCCATTGTCCACATATTAAAGCCTAATTTGTTATATCTTCCATCGCCAAAGACCAAGGAAATGATAGGAAGGTCTTTCTGCCCTTTTTGAAAGTTACTATAACTTGAAAACGCGTTCCGGTTGTGGAAACACTCAGCATGTAGGATCGATTAATGCCAAGGTGCTGAGAATGCATACAACCCAAGAAATAGCGTTTATGTTTCCGACTTCTATAATTTTCTGCAAATTCCTTATAGCAAACTTTCTGGAACATTCCAAGTTTGGCACACTTGCTGAGTCCCTTTTGGTTGGGCATCGATTACGTGACTACACTTTAAGTATGCCAATAACCGCAGTAAGACCATAGATACTAGAAAAGAAACACTACAAATACTCGAGCAAGGGGCCCCCTCATGAGTCGGTATTCAAGCTAATGGGCGCAAATGCGAATTCCTGATTCCATGCACAGTGTCAGCGTTAAAGGCCCTTTTTTCCCAAAGCCTTATTTCTTGATTACTTTATCTGGGTTCCTGATAGCGGCTGCACCAACACACGACACAAGAAAGGTCATTTTCACCTAACTTCGGCGTGTTATTTCACTACTTTAAGCGTATGCTATTTTAATTGGTCTACTCGTCAGTATCATAACAAAATAGTTGAACATGGTCACCTCCTCCCAACCATCTGCGACTATTTGCCTCAGACTTGGTGCTACTACCTTTCCTTCAAAAATATTAACACATGATTGCAGTGCCAGTAGTGAGGTACTACAAGTTATGTGAAGAATTTTAAATCGAGAAATTAGTCCGCATTTACGTAGGTCTCAGTCTGGCGATTAAACGGGCCCTTCATGACAACGACAAGACAGAAACCTATTGAGAAGTCTATGAAAAAGACTTTGGATTTTTTTAATTTCATGCACTTTTAATTAGGAATTACCACGTTTTGTCCAAAGTGCTGAAGTAAAAAACGTAGCTACTCTCTTTTTGAATTTGCGCGATTGAAATGGGATCAACTTTCAAAATTCAATTCCTCATGAATACACAAATCCTGTTTTTGGCTAACACCACAAGACTCTGTGGTCCTGATTTTCTATACAAAACATTGTTAAATTTTCTGACACAATTAAACTATATTTTGTCAGTTCTAAATTGAAACAGATTCTATTTTTTATCAAAACTTTAGTATAAAATAAATGGCATACTAGGATAAGAAGCAGTAGCATCTGTCAATTCGCTGGAAAATAGCCAAGCCATAGTTTATTTGAAATACCGAAGTGGCATTGGATTCACCCTTTGGATTACTTCGTGCATATTCAAACTTTACGATTGCTTAAAGTTGACGTTTCAGTGAAATTTCATATGATGGAATTTCAAGAGGGATGTGAACGGCTAAAGTATGTGTAAAATAGATGTAATAGATATTTGTTTAAGTTACGCATATCATAACAACATTTAAGAGGCCACTACGACCTTTGAAGCGGATCTCCAAGGGTCTGAATCAGCACCACATTGGAGGCTTATGTTAGCATGTATTAAATGAAGAGCGCTAATGGTTTTTATTAAGTGCCCATCAACCATACTTTACCAAACTTTTCTTTACAAGCAGGTGGTCAGGTATGTACCATGAACACATGCGACAGTCATAGCTCTGTAACATCGGTGCGCTCCTGCATTTTAATAAATCGTGAACTATTGTCAATTCCAGGGTCTGAATAGTTTGTGATACAGTTCTTGTTGGTTTGACCGTTTTTTATAACAGATAAGGTATCGTTAAATTTTGGGTAGGAGGATACTGCCTCTCCACTTCCATTAAAGACGACTGTATATGACTTCGGGTAAAAAAGTGGGCTACCCAAATCAAGGTATGCTGTAATATTTTATTACCTACATTAGACGGATAAAAATGTGCCTATTTGCTTTAAATTTTGCATGCCATTTTACATTGTGTGTTAGATTTCCTGGAAATTAATGTGATTTGAATAATATAGCGATTGGTAGACAGAATAATAATGCCTTCCCTAAAATTTATCCTACCGTCAGTTCGGCCATCACAAGCTAGAGTACCATTAACGACCCATTTGGTAATTGCTGGCGAACCAATGAAAGCATAGCCCACGTTGACAAAGTTTCCGTTCGAGTAAAACGAATTAGTTCTCTTCTTCGCCAACATCAAAACTCACTAAAACTTATGGGCAAGCCAAAACCAAGGCTGGTCAATCGGACAAAAAGCAGAAATTTTTCGACAACACGGGTGTACTACAATTACTTTTTGACGTGGTTCACTACCTATGAGATGCCCAAGGCAATTCTCATTCAACATTCGACAGTGGGTGTTATTTACCGTTTTCTCCAGGTATCTATAATAGCATATTTTATTGGATGGGTGATCGTGAAGGAGAAGGGTTATCAAGCTTCAGAGCGCCCAATTTACGGCGTATCAGCCACGGTTCGAGGAACGGCATTCAGCAATGCGGAGCACTGCAGTAGCCACCTGGCTGCAGGTCCCATGGTTTATACAGATGCGGACCTTGTTCAGCCGCCTATCCAAAATTCTGGATTTTTCTTGGTAACCCGTGTGTACAGTACCGTTGATCAAGTACTATATGCATGTGCTGAAGCTCCAGATTTGCTAGATGCTCGATGTCGGAATGACGCACAATGCCCCGAAGGCCAAATCGCTGGAAATAAGGTGCCTGAGGAGTTTGCACACTTAACAAACACATCGTGGTTTGATGTTGAAAGTTATGGGCACGGACCTTTTACTGGACGCTGTTTACGCAAAACAATGACATGCGAAGTAATTGCTTGGTGTCCCATTCTGGAAAACACGGATCCACAGGACTACTCCTGGTATCCCTCTGTACTATCAGATTACAACAACCTGAGTCTTACCAACAGGTCTGACCACGCTTCAAAACGTTTCTTCGATAAGATTTTAATCAAACAAAGAAAGACGCAGGTAGATGAAGATAGTTTAAAAGAGAACAAAGTTGCTCCATTGTATGAAGTCCTCAATTTCACCGTTCTCATTCGAAACATCATCGAATTTCCATTTTACAAAATCAAACGAAATAACATCCTCGGTTGGATGAATAACACATATTTAAAGATGTGCCGCTTTAACGTCTCAGACGAGGTAGATCGTCATTTCCCCCGTTTCCGCATTCAGGATGTCATCACTCTGTCTGGGGCGGATATTTGGTATATATTGCTTCATGGCGGCATCATTGATATAAACATTAATTGGGATTGTGACTTGGATAAAGCACTGGAAAAGTGCGTACCTGCTTATTCATTTCGGTACTTAGGAGCACTAACCAGCACTGCCACTGACGAACGGGATATAGTTCATATGGACGAGAAATACTACCTAGAGTTCGGTAACTACTTCACATCCTCACAGCATAGGCGCTTACTACACAAGTTCAATGGCATCCAATTTCTCATATCTGTCACTGGAAAAGGAGGAAGATTCAGTTTACTTGAATTTAGTATGAAAATTGGCTCCTGCATGGCCCTTTTTGGTACTGCAACGCTTCTCTGTAATCTTATTCTCATTCATTTTAGTCCTGACAGACGTCGCTACAAACAGACGGTGTATCGTCTTCGCACCCTCACAAAATGCAAGGGTTTTATTAAGAGAAGTCTTGCTAATCTTTCTCCACCTAAACCTGCGCTTAACAAGCCGAAGAATTTGGAGACAGCGATTGAGTTTTATGCCGGCCGCAATGTTACGGGAATGCTCCCTGGATTCAAAATAAACATTGAGAAGCAAAGCGAGAACTGTGCAGCTAGTATAACTGAAGAAGACCGTCAGTGTCCGTCAATAATACAAAGAAAATTTGTTCAAGTAAATCTCCCCCTGAAAGGAAATGACAGTCCAGAAGTAAGATTAGATGGTCTCTTTCGTCTTCCCCATCCAAAATTGCATTAGTTTCTTTCAGTGGATGATTATAACGAATATTTTTTGTAGTAAAGAATGCCATTTCAATGCTTGCATAATTTTGGAAATTTTGCGTTGATCATTTGATAATTATGCTTCATTAAAACAGTTTTTTTTGGAGTATTTGCACTTTACTGGAAAAGCCACGCCTCAACCGATGCTACTTGATTTACAAATCACTCCTGGTATAAGGAGTAGTAGAATTTTGTTAAATCCGATTAACTTTAAAAAACAACTTCTGGAAGATTTGAATTGGATTTAATTTCAAAGAAGATGCTTTCAACAAATTCTACTCCTGAGTCACGTAGCCAACGTGGGAACCACCATGATATCCTGGGCTTTGTTAAAATGAAAAATGGACAAACTGGAGCACTTCGAAGTTGATTTCACATGAGGGCTTTAGCGATACAATCAGAAGTTAAGAGTATATCAAAAAATAATTTATTTATTCTTTGTTTGCTTACTCAGTGACAAAAAGACTATAAGCCATGAACCCTTGATGTGAGTTTTGTCATTATAAAAATGGTAGGTCATTAAAAAAATAAAATTGACGATTAATTTCAGTGAGGTTAGTTTAAAGTGTCCTTAAGCTAAATATAATCTGATAGCACTTGGTAATAGCTTTTTTCTATCGATAAGGAAAAAAGAATTGGTTTATCACTTCGTACTTTACGTGATTCCTGCAAGGGGAGTTTTAATGTGCTGGTAATCCGGTTTATTAAATTAAAGGGGAAATTTGCCACTTAATGTTATATTTAAAAAGTCGGCAATAGTCTAGGCTTCAGGTTTCGCTGAGAAACAGCACTCAAAATTGGTAGATTTATTGCGAATATAAGTGAGATAACTTTTACAGCTGACATTATCCCGCAAATAGCACGCCTTGACAAAGCAGGATGCAAAGCGATGGCACGTGCATAAGTGGATTTTCGTATATTTCTAAGCATACAAAAAGTTTTGTTGGCCAAAACTGGAATTTATTTAGATCCGGCGCATACAACAGCGGTGATAAAATGTTCTGTATTTCCCAATGCACTCGCGAGCTGCTGTTCAAATCTATACAAAATTGGGCCTAAATGTTCAATGAGAAGAGTTTCAGCATTTATTGTAGATGGGCGCGCGGTGTTTGTTCCATTTATATACCCCGCTGACCGATGGTATGTTCGTGTCAGACAACCCCGTCTATCGACAGAAATTCATATACCACCGTGCAGGACACTAAGATTTGCCTATTTGGTATTTTAATAAGGTCAGTAATTCATAATATGTCCTTTCCAAGCATGAAATTGCATTCAACGTAAAAAGCTGATTGTACTTTCTTTGGTCCAGTAAATGCAGGTTATATCGAAATAGAGTGACGCCTATCTTTCACTACATCATCGATCTACTGGCTTAATCTATTCATTTGTAAGGGGCTATTTCAAACTAAGCAATAAAGTTGTCACTCCGTACTATAATTTTTTAACTATTTCGGGAAACGGATAAGTCGATTGATCTAAAGTTATTTTATTTCCATAGTATTACACGCAATCAGAATAGGCTGACGTTGTTGTAAGTTTGAGAATTAAGCCAGTGAAAACATACTTTGAAGGACTATGTTTGGGGAAGAAAGCAATTCAATATGGAAATATTACTAATTCTTAAAGCTGTAGTGTTATTATTGTCAGCGACATTCTGGTTAAATAACCACCTAAGAAATTCCCAGGACGAATAAAACCATAAGACATTTTTGGTACCAGCGGTCCTAGTGTGCCAAATGAACTTTGCAGTCTTTAATTACTATATTAGTGAATTTGTCTGTAAATGTGGAGGATAACAGGGTCTGGAGCTGCAATCCCCAGCTTTTCATTTTCCCCCTCCTATTGGACAGTGCGCTGGCCAATAAGAGGGGCGTAAAACACCGGGGTAACAGCCGCCACGCGTAACACTGAAGAGTGTAGCCTTTGCATGCTTTTATCAGCATGCACATGAGTCAGCCGACATAAGTCCAACGTTTAATTTTCACGATCAAAATTGGCTTTGCGTAACCAATGCAATGTTTTTTTTGGTTATGGTTTTGACTACCCTACTTTTTGCCATGGGGGACGTCAGTAATAGTGCTGATATTACCACCATGGACGAATTCGTAGATACGTTCACAGAAACGCTGCTCTCCTGGAGTAGCCAATCGACCACAGACGTTGGACGTGGACGTCGAAGTACTGATTCTTCCTCCTCGCAGTCATCGGAATATGTAAATGTAAATTGCAATCTCATGTGCATCATAGAGACGCAAGGTGAGGGGCCGAATCGGCAGATCCTCGTCTGTACTTCCGGAAGCATGGGCAGCCATAGGAAGGGCATTCCTGTCCGGACGACCTGTGTGGAACATGCCTCTGGTAGACTTTTGCATATGATAATTGCCGTTCCCGATGCTTCAGCAGACTATCTAGATAACGACTTCGCCAAGGCTGTGAGCGATGCACTGCTTGCAATGACACCCGAACCCGAAACGCTCTATCTTACTATCGAAATCCCCCTTTTAATTTTGCATCAAAATGACTTCACGGCACTCTCTTCAAAAGTGCGACGCCTTTCGATCTACCTTGGGCAGGCTCTTCATGTGGATCCCAACGTTTTGACGGCATTATCATTGGAGTCGTTTTCATTTGAGGGCTGTCGACTAAAAAAGACGCGAGTTTTTCAGAACGAATCACGACATTGCGATGTCAACTTTCTCTACACCTGTCCGAAAATAGGCGAATTAGTATTATCGGTGGATAGAACGGGCTGGACAAGGCTCTGCTCTGAGAGTTCATACAATCACGCCAACAAGCAACATTTCGAGAAACAACCGGCATGCGGTTGCAACGATTACAAATCCCCCTTAGAAGCTCTTCATAGTTCTAAAAAGGTATATTCAGATCTCCAACATGCTTTGGATTCGGAGTACAAACAACTATTTCAAATTTCTATTGCCACAAATTTGATTTTAAGTTTTACAATATTAATTATCTGCCTGTTCACAGTAATCCAGTATGTACAGAATTATCAAGGATCAAATGGGAACAAAGCCTAGTTGCAGAATAGCAATAATTCAAATCAATATGATTCAAATCTGAATCCCTTTGTAATTGAAAACTGACTGAGATTCATTTCCCTTTTTTTCCTTTTGTAAAAAACCTCTTCATTTGATCAAATTATTTTTTTTCATACACCTTTACAATAGCTATATGACATTGCGACATTATTTTACTAACTTATGATAGACCACTGAGTGGTAGGTGGATAGCAAGTGCTAAAAGCTCGGGCGCGTTTTAGCATCAGCCTTTTGAAATTTTATGGTTCCTTGAATTATATACAAAACCAAGATGATTGTTTGGCTTGAATGTGGGTTAATGTGCTTTTGCCTAAAGCGGGCGACACCGCCGTTTTGGCATTAAATGTGTGACCAATTCAAAAAGATCTTCTCAGATCTCCGTTTAAATCTGGATTTTGAATTGGAATGCAATGAAAATCATGCAATGCTAGTTGCGATTTCCACAGCCTGTCAAAGTTTGTCCTAATAAAAAAAGGGCACAGATTTTACGTTAAGAACCTTAAGCAGACGTGCAATGGAAAGTAAACACTTGCTACATAAATTCGAGACAGCGGGTCAATTAAGGCAGTCAAGAATATCTTTGTTATATAAACAATTTAATTGGGTGAGAAGTGGAGTACAATATTATTACAAATAAAGCAGGTAAGAGGGATTTTAGTGAGGTGGTAAAGATTTGCCTTGTTAACCACTTTTACTTGATGTAGAAACGGAGGAGATTTTCCCCGATGTAGTGGCAAACAAAATTCAAACCTTTTAATTCGCATGCGGGATTATGTAAGTACTGAGTCAAGAATCTATCATTTGACTCTAGATATGCTTGGGAGATGTTTATGCTCTAAAAGTTAACATTCCTGCACAGCCAAAACAATGTTTTCGGTGGTTTGAGGCATCTAGATTTAGCTAAAAGTGGAATGAGGAGCTAGTGCTTGCAATTCCACACACTTTTCAGTAATTTAAACCCAGTAAGATGATTGGATTACAGTAGCACTGTGAACGAATTGGATGTAAGGCTTCTCATTTAATCTGTTTCGCATTTCCTCACGGGACTAATCGCAGAATTCCAGTATTTTAGCATTGTGCTAAAGCGATTTCAAGATCTCTTACCGAGTTTGAGTGCTGATCTCAGAGTAGCTTTAAAAATAAAATTTGGTATTGTCTAAAGCTGAGAATAAATGCAAGCAAACTGTGATAACAAAGACAATTGCTTAATAATTATTTTTTAAAATGTCTGGGAGACCTGCCTGTCATTAATGCAAACCAATTCAGATTAGCATTATGATAGGAGGATTAAAGTGCTCTATTTTAGGAGAAGAATGAGATTCTGCGAATAGAAGAAATAAAGTGGGCCGTTTCTTTTGATAAAATAACTTTTGCGTGTTGAAACTCGCCGGTGTTGACGTGGCATACTTGCCTGTCTAGTTAATGCAGCTAGTGTTAACATGGAGGTCAAAATGGCTGCAAAAATGATTAACTACTTCCTTGGCTAATGCATTCACCTGCTTTCCAATAATTAACCCTAGCTCCTCTATAATTAACTGCCTGAATACCACACTGTAGCATATATTTTCATAATGCCATAAAGACACTTTAAGTGCGCAGCTGCGCTATGAATGTAGGAGTTGGTTAGATTTCTAGAAAATACAGCTCATGGGAATATTTTGCTACTGTAAGAATAGATAAGGGGGAGGCCCTAGTTTGACTTTTAGATAAGGAACCAAGCTATTGGAGGGCTGCGCTAATTTAGAATTACATAGACTAAGCGTTAGGTGAGGTCTACAGCAACCTACTGCCTTCTGTAGAGGCTGCGTTCGAGTTAATAAAAATGGAACCGCGTGGTGAGTCCATACAGCTCGAGGATGTGCGGACCACAGCAGAGACGTGTTCGGGCCATCTTGTATGCTGATATTGGTATGTGCAGGCTAATCAACGAAAGCCTTGTGATACTTATTAATAGAATACTGTGTATCATTCCCCCTCTGCAAACAGTGTTTTACAATCTTTCGGATTCTGATGAGTGGGTGGCATTACTATGCCGACAGAGCTTGCGCCAATAAATTGCAGATCGGTGCACGATAAGAAATCACATTAAGAACATGATACCTGATTCCGGTTTGCCCTCAGTCTTTATAAAACAAGCTTAAAGGTCAAATAAAGACACGAGAGGTGTAAGCTTAAAAAATAACACATTCTTATTGAAATTGATTGTCATAGATTGGTTTGCGTCAATTTTACCCTCTAGGATGTACTAATTTGTGGCTAGAAGGCTACGGAGCACATGTCTTTTTGGTTCTCCTTTAAGATAATCAATTATTTTCCAATTCTATTTAACTACATCTTCGTTTTAATCGACTCAGTAAAAACGCAGACGCGGAAACGTAATCTCAACATTTACCCAGCATAAATACCAATGATTTTTCAATAAAAAGGCATGCATAACGCTTTGCAGTCAAAAAAAATTGGCAAAGGAAAATCTCGAAAATTTTTGATGTTTCTTTAATGCTCCTTCTTCATACTAATTAATGCCTTGAAATCTTAAAGACAATGTAAAACACAGTAATATATTTATTTTACTTGACAATATTATTTAAAGTAAGTATCCTTGACTGTAACGAATAATTCACCGGGCTTCAAACATAAAAGTGATCTTTTGTTTATTCTAACGGTGGAATTAAACCATAGCTGT